TATATAATGAATCATCTGTGACTTTCATAAAATATTCCCATTTAATCTTTTATTTTTCATTGTTTTCCATATTTTATTTTAATTATTTTATGAGAAATATATTTTTAATATTTCTCTATTAGAGAATTTTCGTGAATTACTTTCTCTCGTTTTATTTATTTTTTCTAATACCTTCCTGTAGCTATTATTTTACATCTCCGCTTTTCTGGGTATACTTGAGTATTCTCTCTTTGTTTCCAAGTCCCCTTCTTATTTCTTGCCCATCTACTGCTCCTCATGCCCCCCCCTCCCTCCACCCTTCCGTCTCCTCATCCTTCATCTTTTCTCCTCACACCCTTCCTCCTCCATCTCCTCCCCTCCTCCTCCTCCAAGGTGGCGGCCTTGACCCTGGTCCCCTCCCCCTCTCCTCTCCTCCCCCAAGGACCCAAGACCTCCAAACCCTCCCTCCGCCCTCCTCCTTTTCTCCTCTCCAACACTTCCCCTCCTCCATTCTTCCTCCTTCTCCTTTCCTCCTGTCTCACACCTCCCTCCCCCCCCCTTCAGTACGAACCTCTGTCCTGCATGGCAGTGAACAGTGACATTACCCACATGAATCTGACCTTTATATGCATAGCTGTTAATGAATATGTTGTATTTCTTTGTGTATGAACCTCTGTCCTGAGTGGCAGTGAGAAGTGATACCACCCTCAGTGTCAAGACCTGACTGAATTACTCACAATAGACAAACTGTACTACAAGCTTTGTCAATAAATTTGTTAAACTAAAAAACCATCAGTACCTCACACTTTCTTTTCCTCCTTCCTCTCACTCAACACCTTTCCTATTCTCTCCTCCCCAACATCTTCCACTGCCTGTTTCTTTCTACCTCCTTCTCCCAGAAATGAAACATGTGTGTGTGTGTGTGTGTGTGACCGTGGCATCGGCCTCAAGAAGATGACACCAGATAAGACAGCCGGTCACGCCGGTCAGGAGGGGAGGGGTAAGGGAGGGGGTGAAGGAAGGAGTAGGGAAGGGGGAGAAGGGAGGGGAGGGGAAGGGGGGACGCTCTAGCCAAAGCCAAGGCCGCCTCCTCCACCTTCCCCCACCCACCCTCTCCCCCTCCACAACCTTCTCGACCTTCTCCTTTCTCTCCTCCAATCACCCACCTCTCCCTCCCCTCCACCAACTTCTTCTTTCACTTCCTCCACCATCTTCCCCAATCCCTCTTGTCACCTCCTCCACCTCTTTTTCCTAATTCCCCATCTCCCCCCTTACTTCCCAACATGTACTATTCCAGATGATACTAAATGTTACATAATACTTCCTTGAGATAAATGTATTGTATATATCAGGTGCCTTCAAGAGAGCTCAGGTTCTCAACTGGCTCAGCCATGTTAATATTGTTATTATTATCCACCCTGTATCTGTGTTTGTCTGGCTAAATAAACTGTCTCAATATCCAAATCTCCCTACTTCCCCACCTCTCAAATTCATACACTTCTACTTTTTACTTTTATCCTCTTCACCAATGATCGGCTCGTTAGCCGCTTGGGCGATCGGTCACGTCTCTGTTACGCACTGTTGGCAAGTACTGGGCATGCACCTGCTCCTGAATGTACCTAAACCTGCTGCAGTGCTGGTCAAGTCTGGTCTTGAAAGAGCTCACACTCGGTGCCGTCACAACACTTTCTGGAAGAGCCCATATAAGTGGCTCTGGTCGTGCCCATATAACTGGCTCTGGTCGTGCCCATATAACTGGCTCTGGCCGTGCCCATATAACTGGCTCTGGCCGTGCTCAAATATCTCATTAGGGCTCTGGCCGACTCTGGTGAATTTTAAATCATCAGGTTTCAAGGATTCCGGCATCTGATTTGACTAGATTTCGGTGTTTTGGATGTGGGTATGGCCGGACCGGATTTATCTGAGTCCGGATATTTTACAGTTACTGTATGTTCGGTATGATCCCAGCACTTGGTGGAGATGGTGTCAGTCATCAACTTTGAGAAATGAAAGACATGGATTCCGGATACATGAAACATGAACCTAATCCCTGTGGTGAGGTTATACAGCTCGGTGATTCGGCTACAGGGATTGATATTTACCTCCTTCCACACTTTTATTCCCTGTTTTCCTTCCCCAATCCTCCCCTTTCTCTCTTATCTTCTTTAATAGTACCTAATTCTCTCTCTTATATCTCCTTCATCTCTCTAACTGCCACCCAAACAATTTTATCACTTTTATTTCCTCCCTTTCTTCTTTCCTATTAATATCTCTTCCTTTCTTACTCATATCCTTACTTCTACCGGTTCTCTCTCCTTACTTTCCTCCCCATCCCCCACACACGCGAGAGGCAAGTTAGCTGTGGAGACCTGTTGTAAGTTTACCCCTCCCTCCTCCCCCCGTCGTGAGGCAGCTTTATGCCACTAAGGTAATGACCAGCAACATTTAACTAAGAAAACAACATCAGGGAACTGTTTATGATTAGCTGAAGCTAAGTTACGGGAACTGTCTTAATCGATATGCATTTTCTGTTAGGAGGAAGAGGTACAGTACTGTTCTTTGTGTAGACATTCTGCCATGCGTATATATCAAATGAAGCTGTGATAAAAGCAGTAAGAGAGTTTCATCAAATGTGAATGGTGACAACACATTCACATACACAGTTACAGGAAAATAGGAAGAACGCTAGTTTTTTAGGTAAAAAAAAATATGCCTAAAAGGCCAAAGACGCATTAGAAAACATGCGGCCCATTACAACATAATTATTTCGTTAGCAAGCAGATTTTTCTAATATGGAGGCAAACTTGAGGGTAAAATTTAAGGAGGCAACAAGAGAACCTTACCGAGCACCCGTCAAAGTGTAAGCAGCGTGCCAGAAGTAGATCTAAATAATAAGCAAATGTTGACATACTGTAATCATTGACTCTCCCTGTGGCAGGAGGACTATGCATGCCAGTGGGACAATCGCGGCAGTAATGATGAAGAGTATTAGATGTGGGATTACACTCTGTGCAGAGGTTGAGCATAAGCAGAACTGTCCAGTATGGGCCAATAGGCCCGCTGCAATTTCCTTCATTCTTATGTTCAACTTGCTATATCCCAGCTTAATGCGAGCCGAAACAATTGATGTCTGCGAATCACAAGTCCACGTAGACGTTACTTTGATGGGAATGGAAGAAACTTAAGTAGTGTAGAATAGAAAGGCTATCAGGCCTTTCCTTATTCCTACGATGGGTTGTAGGGAGAAAAGTGGCAGAACGTATATCTTTCTGTTGCACAGGAGGGAGGGAGCACTGATTACTGCCAGCCCTGACGGGAGTCTAATGCCTGTGCTTAACTGAAACACACAAATATCCTTTAAATAAATATTTATACATTTAGGGTCATTGTTGTTTGATCTGAGTTTTCTGTATGGTATGTTCTGTCTTTGTGCATTAAGTAACTCATTATTTAAATTGTTGTGGAACTCGTCAACCTCAGATCTCGTGATCAAGTCATCCTCAACCGTCAGGTCTTAGGTCTCCAGGTAAGGTGAGGTCGCTCTCTGTGGGTACATTGTGTGAGCTGTAAACGCTTCTGCGCTTCACCTTACACAAGGATGTAGGGGGGTGCCCAATAAAAAAAAAAAATTGTGAGGTCATGTAATTCACCCCCAAGCGTTATACCCCTTCTCTCAGCTGCCTCTTCAAACTATCAAAGTTTGCCCTTCTGAAATCTGGGACTTGTGGAATTTTCCTTGCGGCTGCCCTAAAATTCTAATTGTAATCTTATTTCTTTGTGATCGCTGTTCGTCCCCTACCTCGACATTACTAATGAGGTTTTCTCTGTTTGACAGAACTAAATCGAGTATATTATTACCCAGGGTGGGTTCGGTTATGTTGGCTTAGGAAACAGTCCTGGATTGTTTCAAGAAAATTCTCTGATTCTGAGTTACCCGTAAGGTCAATCCAATCTATTTGGCTAAAGTTAGTCGCCTACTATATAGACTTTGCTATTATATGGAAGCCCTGTGCATTTCATCCCAAATAAGTCGCTCATTAACTCTATCAAGATTAGGAGGTCTATATATTACTCCTGTGATTAATTTTTCCCTACCATCGATTAATTCTATCCCAATTGTTTCTGTATTCCGCTGTTTTTATTTCCTTATTTATTTCACACTTCAGATTATCCCTGACATAGATTACTACTCCGCCTTCTTTCCTAATCTGCCTATCGGTATGGAATAATTTGTAACCTGCAGTTTGGTATTCGACAGGTAACTCACCTGAGTCTAGGTTTATTCGTGTTTCGGTGAATGCTAGTCTATCGATTTTTTCGGTACATACAAACGCCATGATTTTCTTGAACTGAGTTTGCCATAGGGCGTAAATAATAAAGAAAAGGATATCAAACATGACAGTTTATTAGTCTCTGCATCTGAAAATATTCAGTAATCATAAAGTACCTTTGTGCTAACTTTTACCTCGTCAGTGCATTAAAAAAAAAAAAAATAAAAAACACACGATGCGGCCAGTCTATTAACATAATAATTTATACAATTGTACCAGAATTTGGGTAATCTCATGTCAGTGGTGGAAGTACCGGCGGGGAGATCATTGAAGAAACAAGAATGGTGGAGAAAAAAAACTAACAACACAATTATCAAAACGAATGAAGATAAACATACCAACACCTGTGGATATAGACCAAGGGTTCTGCCGTGTTCTATTTGATCCAATTGTTTTCATCACCACCGCCTGAGTTTATTGGGATGATTTTTTTGTTTATGTACTGTAGTAAACTATGAGTTGTGTTGACAGTAAGCGCCGCCAACAACTCTGCCGCTCAACACCAGTGACCAAACGACAGTCTGTCTGTAGCCGGAAATCATGTTATATTATGAACATAATAATATTTATTTTAAATTAAATTTAGCTGCAAGAAATTGTCGATTAAATATGTTTTTATTCTATAGATTTACGTATTTATTTACCAGCTCAGGGAGATAATATTTGTCATTACTTACCGTTAACAGCTGACCTTACACAAGGTAAACAAACGGATGGTTGACGTCATATAACTTAACACACACTGCCTGGTAAAGAAGGGGTTTTCATAATTCTCATGTAAATAACAATTATGAATAAGAAAAGACGTGTTACACTTGGTACAGCACAGGCATAGAGTTGCCACTTTTCTCGTAATATTTGAATAATCTTTCTGAAGAGTAAGGTTTAGTGTATTCAGCTTGGAGGACAAACAAAAAATGAGTGTGGACTAACGAAATTAACGTTATGAAGCTATAGGAAGTGTCGTGATCTTGTTAGTAACTCATCCAAGGTTACCTAATGATCTTAGGTAATTTTGTAGGCACAGGATATAGATACAGCAGCCGTATGCGAAACCTCGATCTCTATTGGTACGGCAGCCTAATGCTCATGCGTGGTGGACAGACTATACAATGATAGTAACTATGGTGGCCTCTCTGACTAACTTAACCATGAACAACACCTGATATCCAGTGTGGTTTTTAGCTTATCTTCCATATCCACGGTGTTATATACCACTAAGCAGGTCTACTGTATATCACAATAAATTATTTGTAATTTTCATCCTGTTGAAAAATACTGTACTTGGTTAACATATGAATTATGTATCTTTTCTGCCCCTTTTTTTTAAATTATCAACTGTGAAATAGTTAAAAATGGTAAGTGTTAGTCTATGGAGTATTTCACTTACTGATTAAATGCTTGTCTTCTTTCTACAGATTATTATTAATCATGGAAAGAGTAAGTCGAACACTGCTCACTGCTTTGCTGGGTCATCGCAGGACTATATGTTCCCTAATACACAGACTACCCAACATAGTCACTTGCAGTGCACAGTCACAGGTACAGTATATAAATTATTTCATACCCTTCATCAATTTCAGACTTATTTTTCTAGGGAATATTTTATGGCTTACAGTACATGTTGCAATTGATATGTGAGATTACATTGCCAGAACACCCATGACAAAGCCTGTCATCCAGGAGTATAGGAGCACCCGTTCTTACGATTGGGAGCCCAGTATATTATCACAAAAATCTGTATTTAAATTTGAATACCGTATTAATTTATATTTAACATCACTTTATTTACAGTATTTACATTATTTGTTATGTATGGTATATATGATTGTTGTTTTGTAAGGGCAGGGTTGTGTTTTAACAGAGGGCTTTTATAGCTGAGTACCCTGGCTATTTAATATGGCAAAGCTGGCATAGCCGAGTACCCCAGCTGTTTAATGGAACTGTTTGCATAGTCATGTACCCCTAATAGCTAATACAGGATTTTAATTTACAGTTTACTGTAATATATTATGTTAAGTTACAAATTCTAACATTAAATAACCGGGATACCCTGCTACACAAACTGGGGTACCCAGCTATACAGGATTTTACATTTTATTTGTAGGGTACCCGGCTATGCAAGCTCGGCCTTAAAATAATCAAATTATATTATTTACTTGTAATTTTTATATCACCCAGAAAAATATTATGTGTGCACCTTTAAGAAGAAATCTTATTGAAAGGTCTTCACATACATTGAGCGCTGTAGCATGGAAAACCCTCAACCGTGAATTTATTGCTGTTACTAAGCTTTTGGAAAGGTAAGATTATTTCCTTTTGTTCATATTTTTCATAATTGCTTTACTCAGTGTTTCAAGGGTTTAGAATTATTATACTGTATGATAATTTGTTATACATGGCTATATCTAATATTTAATAGCTAGACTTGCTAGAGGTTGTCCCACTAAGAGAGTAATCTTATAAACTGGTAGCCATTACCTTTGATAAAAAAATTATGTAAGAACAAAGGATTCCAATAGAGAATAACTGGTTAGACTATAGTATACTGTACAGGTAACACTGTTTGAAGACTAAAGGTGCCAATAGGCAGTCACTAGTCAAAGAAAAATAAGCAGCATTAATTAAAGAATAAGAGACAAAATAATACCAACCAAGACTTTTTTTGAAGCAGAAGGTTGGGCCTTTCAATTAGCTACTTAACAAAACATTGGTGAAATTAATATAAAGATTGCTATTGTAGGTTATGAAGGAATATAGACTGCTTTTGTGGGTTGTAGAAGTGCAGAATAAGCATTTAGGAATTCTAAATCTTTCATAAATATTTGAGATGAGTTTTCTTAGCCCAGGTGTGCCCATAGGAGTTGGTTTATTTCTATGAAAAAAAAGGCAGAAGGATTTAAGTGATTTATCAACTCAAACAATCATACTGGGAGTGAGACAACCCATTCTTTACCTTAGCTAATGATCATAAACTTACCTCCCATTATTTCTGCTTTGTTTTGGTGTTGAACCACATAGTCTTTTCCTTTCTTTAGAAACTTTTCTCTGATGTAAACACTTGGCCCACACATCCTCTTGTTTTTCTGGATTCCTACTGCTGTTCGTTCCTGTAATACACTAACTTTTTGCTACAGTTCTGTCTGTAATAATAATTTTTACATTTAACCTTGTCACCTTTCCCAAGGAGACTTTAAATTCTCTCCATTATTCCTTCGATGAAAAGAATAAGTTGTATAGTTCCAAAAAAGTTGAGTGGAATTTTTCAGTAGAAAATTTAAACCTGTTGAAAGTATCAGTGGACTACTGAATTATTTTCAGGTTAATGTTAGAAGACATTAGACAACACAGTAATTAAAGTAAAAATCTTATTTTTCGTTTATTTGTGTTTTTATTTCATTATAATTTTATTCTCAAAATACTAAGATGACTTATGTTTTCTGAAAAGGTCTGGGGTGCCCCGATCAGAGCAGATGGCACTGTTACAACGCAGTTTTCACACCTCTGCCTCTCAGTTCAATCAGCCTGGCCGAGGTGGGCCAGCTGGAGGAAGTGGAGGTCCATCTCAGGGCAGTAATGGTGGTAATGATAATAAGAAAAATGATAATGATGAAAGGAAAGGTATGTTAGCCAAGGCAGCCCTGTGGATGTTGACAGCATATATGTTTATTGCCATCATCTCCCTCCTCTTCCCCAGCAGTAACCAACCTGAGGTCAGTAAATAAATCATTTGATGTGTTCTAAAGATCTTCATGATAATTCATTTATATCATATTGATGTACATTCTAGTTTTCTTTTTTCAATGTAAAATCAAAATGCATCATTATATAAGATTGAAGATCAGTTTTATCCTAAAGCCCCTATACTGCTTCTACACTCTTATCTCAGATGGCACGTTATGTCTCATGGAATGAGTTTGTCCATCACATGCTGGACAAAGGAGAAGTGGAAGAAGTAATTGTGCGCCCAGATTTAGACATTGTTACCATTATCCTCCATGAGGGGGCAGTCATCAAAGGCAAAAAGGTGAGTGTCATTGTTGACAATAAAATAGACCGTAGATGGATAAATTTGGCTGACTTTTATAAGGAGAGATCATTATCCTCATTTGGCTTTTAAAGTATTTTATCAGATAAGATAGTCAATAAAATCTTTAATTTTACTAGTGTTTAATACAGTAAGCTTGTTTCTGCTCAGCAAAACTCTGGAACAAGCATCTTCCTCCTGTTTTTCCTCCACCACACAAACCTTAATTATTCATATTTTACATCAACCATTTTATTCTCTCCTAAGCTTCATCACTCCTATCTTTCATGTTTCTTTTATCTTTAATACAGGGTATAGTAGCCTATTTATTCCCTCCTGTGCCCTCTACAAAAAAAATCGTAAATACACAGTTGTAATAATAATAATAATAATGTGTACAAATATACCCTTGAGGAACATCAGTTTATATTTTGAGTTACAGATGGAACAGAGAACTTTCCACATGAACATAGTTGATCTTCAGCACTTTGAAGACCGTTTACGTGAAGCTGAAGCCAAATTAGGAATTCGGCCAGATCAAGGAATACCAGTAGTGTATGAGAGAAGTGGAGATACAGCAGGTAGACTTCTAGCATCTATCATTGTTGTGGCTATTATTGTCTCACTTCTCTCAAGGAACATGAATATCAAGGGACCACTCAGCATCGAGGGAATGGTTAGTGAAGGCCAGTGATTATTATCCAGTGTATTTCGTTTTCTAGAAAAGAATTAGATTTTTAAGACAAAATTAAATCACTGATGATATGGTAAGTTAGACGTTCACATTTCCATAATCTTTGGACATAAGGCCAAAATAATATATTTTCATAACTGTACTGTATATCACAAAAAAAAAACAAGGTAGAAAAGGGAAACTAGAACCTCCAGGGCTATCTTGATCTAAGGATGGATTGTGCATCCATGTGCTTGAATCATAAAGTGACATGTGATCCCACGGGTATTATTTTTAATTTCACTTTTGGAAATGCAGTGATTTTGTACTCAGACAAGTAATTATTTACAATTATTATTATTATTTTTTATTCTTGTTTTCAGTCTCAGATGACACGAGCAAAGTTCACAATCATTGACCCTCTTATGCCTGGGTCTGGACGAGGAGTCAAGTTTTCTGATGTTGCTGGATCAAAGGAAGCCAAGCAAGAGGTTATGGAATTTGTTGACTTTTTGAAGAATCCAGATAAATATAGGTCTCTTGGAGCAAAGGTGAGTATTTGTGTTTTAAATACTTACTCAGATACTAAGGGGGGGTATCTTGGCCATTGCTGCCCTGATATTCCAAAGTGCATACACACTCACTCACACATTTCAAACCATATCTAAATGTGGATGAGAAAGATTGAGTTATTTCATAGTTCCCTCCACTCTATTGTATTCTCTGGGCGGTAGTCTTTGGTACACAAGTAGAAACCAGTTTATAGTCAGAGCTCCTGGTAGCTCTCATTCTGATCTTGTCTTCATTACTCCTTAGCCACAAAGGGAATTTTACAAATCAAGTATTTTCTTTCTTATTATGTTATTACTTACATAGAGATTCATTCTCTACACATTTTGATACATAAAATACTGTATGTACTTTAAGGAAGATTAATTTTAACTGCTTTGTTTTTCACTGTCCATTCCTAATGCTGTTTATGATTTCTCATGGCAGGTTCCAAAGGGTGCTCTCTTGTTGGGTCCTCCTGGCTGTGGTAAGACTTTACTGGCAAAAGCTGTGGCTACGGAGGGTCGGGTGCCATTCCTAGCCATGAATGGATCAGAGTTTACTGAAATGATTGGTGGTCTTGGTGCTGCAAGAGTAAGGTGATTCAAATATCCAGTAATTTTGAGGTGTGAGATTAACAAAAATATATGGAATCTTTAATGATTCTTTGCCTCAAAGCAGAGGTAGTAACTGTTATGGACCCAGTAAGTGGATAATTTAGAAATTATTAATAGTCCCACTTATAAAATTCTTTGTTTCTTTGTCGGTGTTAAATCATAACCTCTTTCATCACTGTAATATGAGAATTTTTTTGGTTACACCCTGTATACAGCATTAGTATCTACCTTCAACCCTTGCTGTTATTCAAGATGTTAGTTCTCCATCATGTTCAAACAGTTAGATAAATGTCTTACACCAAGATAATGAACCCATATAGAAACTTGTCTGTGCTGTAGTTGGATACTTTTTTATTACCACATTGTTGTTTTTCAGAGACCTTTTCAAAGAAGCAAGAAAACGGGCTCCATGTATTGTTTACATTGATGAGCTTGATGCAATTGGTCGCCAGCGCTCCAGTAATGTCAGTGGGTTTGATGGTGGGTCAGGTGAATCTGAACAAACATTGAATCAGCTTTTGGTGGAGATGGATGGTATTGGTTCAAAAGAAGGAGTTGTCCTTTTATCTTCAACAAACCGTCTTGATATACTTGATAAAGTGAGTTTTAATTGATTTAGCTGTAGAGAATACTGCATAGCCTGTTTGCAGGTATCTTAAAACAGGTTCATTACTAATGCTATTATTGGGTGTAATAACTTGAATTAAATTATATACCCATACAGTACTGTACTGTACCAGCCTGCTGTAACTGCTGTTAGTCGTGTATTGGCTGTGATATTTAAGATGGGTTTTTATTTTTATTTTAGGCACTACTACGGCCTGGAAGATTTGACCGCCACATCTTGATGGATCTTCCAAATATGGAAGAACGCCGTGAAGTTTTTGAACATCACCTGAAGAGCATAGTTTTGGAGAAACCATCGACTTACTATTCTCGACGAATGGCTTCTCTTACTCTAGGATTCAGTGGTAAGGACTTGAAAGCACATTAATATATAAAACCTCACTTTTTATATCTATTACAGTAGGCTCTCGCCAGTAACGTCTAATAGGTGCCTGAAAAACGCTGTAATTAGCGAAAATGTTATTTGTGTGACATTGAAATACATGTAAAAAGGGTTTATTGGTGCTGCCGCCCCAAGAATTTCACCCTGCTAAAATAAAAAGATTTGTTATTCGATCATCAGAATAAAGAATTTGAGTAATATAACACTTACCCGTAGCTTGGGGGAGTTTTGAGGTGCTTCGTGTGTTGATTGTTCCGAGGCTGGGCATGGAGGCTACTGCGTCGAACCTCCGTCCCCGTGCTGGTCTCTCGCACCCGGTTCACCCACTTCCGCTAACACTTCATCAAACCCCACAAAGTCAAAACCTTCAGGCATTTCCCCAATGTCATCAATGTCTTCATCAACTTCAACCTCTCTCTGTTGGTCTTCCTCAGCTGGCCGGCGTTGTGAAAGAACGCGAGTGATGAGTGACTGCTGCCGGGCATGCACTCGCTCGTTGTACTGCGTCTGGTATTTCCTTGAAATATATTCTATAACTCCAATCACTTGCTCCCTTTCACCTGATTCACTCTCAATGTCTTGGATCATCTCTTGAAGGCTGGTAAAGACACCCAATAAGAGTGACAGCTTCTGTGTCGTCACTTTCCTCTGCTCGGTCTCCCCTGCATCACCACATTCTTCATCCTCCAGGAGACCCTCGACGTCATTTGTGTTACCTTCTTGCATCATATCTTCTAAATCTTCCCGAGTCACTTCTTGAAATCCTGGGGCTGGGATACTGCGGACGGTTTCCAACACTTGGTTCATTCGCTCTGCTGGCTGCTGTCTCTTCGTCTCGGCAAACTTGAGTTGTGGCAGGAGTACCGACCAGGCATGCCTAACGGTTGCTTTCGTAGTATTTCCCCAGGCTTTTACAACGAAATTGACTGCCTGGCGAATGTTAGAATTTTTCCAGAAGGCAGTAACAGTCATTGTGGAGGTTGAAGGTATGCCAGGAGGAGGAGTGGAGGCGGAGGCTGTGAGTGAGGCAGGGGGAGTAGCGGAGGTGGAGGGTGTGAGTGAGTCATGCAGAGCAGCGGAGGCGGTGTGTGAGCCAGGCGAACTAGCGGAGGCGGCGAGGGGTGGACCCTCCTCCTCCTTGCTACTGCTCACAGTTAAAGCGATTTCCTTCACTTCTTGCTTATCAGTTTCCTTCCTCATCTTGTCATGGACATATTTGTAGTACAGCAACTTTACATTCGCTATGATTTCTTGGTCTAGTGGCTGTATTTTGGAGGTTGTATTTGGTGGTAGAAACACAACCTCAACGCTAGGGTGACGCCCTACTAGAAATCGTGCATGACTGGGGGCATTGTCTAGAAAGAGCTCCACTTTGAAGGATACGTTCTTCTTCCGGCAGTATTCTTTGGCATCCTTAACAAAACAATCATCAAACCACTTCTTTGTTAACTCCGTGGACATGTAGCCTTTATTTGTCTTTTCCCAGTAGACATTCAGTTTGGACATATCACATCCCTTGTAAGCTCTTGGTCTTTTATATTTGTAGACCACCAGAGGCTTCATGAGGCAGTCACCTGATGCATTACAGGTTAGGAGAACACTAAAGCAATCCTTTGCCATTTTCACACCTTTTGCCTGTTTTTCTTTCTTAGAGATAAATGTTGCTTTAGGGGATTTTTTCCAAAACAACCCGGTCTCGTCACAGTTAAAAATCTGATTCAGGGTATAACCTCCCTTTTGAATGATTTGATTGGCAATTTCAGGGAAGGAATCTGCAGCCACTAAGTCAGCAGACGAAGCCTCACCCTGATACTTTGCATACTTTGTGCCACTTCTAGCCTTAAACTTATGCAGCCACCCTACTGAGGCATATTTCTAAGCCAGTGCAATACTCTTCTTGGTCTCCTAAGTTCCTCTTAATATTTAGCGCTGTAGACTCAGGACAGTTCAATTTCTTCACAATATCAATGTTCCGTGCACCACTTTCAATGAGCTCATCAATCTGTTCTTTATCCTTGACCGAGTAGGCATGCTTCTTGTGGCTTTGTCTCTTAGCTTTGGGGTCTTTTTTTTCATTCACTTTAAAAGTTTCCGGGCATTCAGGCGGTAAATCACTCCCTCCACCACCTCCTCCAGCCCCCACAGGCAAAAACACGGAAGCCATTGTTGATCACCGACCCTCGCAACCACTGGTTATAGAGGCGAAAATCTCACACGTGGGCGCAGTGCTGTATTCCACAGAGGGTGTGTGAGAGTGAGGCGGAGCGGACAACTACGTCATCAACATGGCGGCCAAACAAACGCTATCATTGATGCGCTCGGACGCTTCCCGCGAAATCTCCGTTATTCAAGAGAATCCAGACGTTATTATTGAAAATGGGTATCTATTGTAACTTACCGTTAATGTCGAAAACGTTATTGTGGAAGTCGTTATTGGCGAGATCCTACTGTATATTCTTTCCTACCAGTCAGGTTACATAGGATAAATCAATCAATCCTGACATTCCCAGTCCTTACACTTTTCCATACATGCATTTATGCTAACACTTCTCAGATGAGATCTGCATGCTTCTTGGGTTAAACTATCTACCTAAGTCTCAAGCTCAATATGCATCTTGTTATTTTATTACATGATTTATATATACCCTGGCTTGTTATCCTATTTATATCTCCATTAACTCTAAACTTCATTCTATTAACCATCATCTCTAAATGTTTGATTCCTAACATCTTCATTTTATACCCTTAGGCGATCCTGGGTGACAATCCTCAACTTTCTTAATTTTTTCATCATATTGTGAATGTCTAGGCTGGACAAAATACTTTAAATGGGATATTTATTTACTTGGCAACTCAACTTGTATGTAATCTGTCTCAAATCTAGTGGTCCAGTTACCCACCAGTTATCAGGATGGATGCACATCCTTCAACATCTCGAGACCCACCTCGCCCCTCTACACCCTCGACAGTGGTGCTATTCATCAAGAGTTGCTTGATTTGAGTGGCATTGATATAGTATTGGGTAATGAAGACAGTGATGGGAGGAAACAGACCCAGATGATGTCGAGTTTGTTGAGGTGGCGTTTGCCTCTTCCTGTACAACCTGCTTTAGTTCTCTGCCAGCTTGTCCAGTAATTAATTTTTCAGTATGTAACATCTCAACCTTCCTGTCTTTGAAATCATTCCTGGACCTAATCCTTATCTGTTTCAACCCGGATACTTTTTTCAGTCTAATTTAATCTTTATTAATATGTCAACTCTTTCAATGTGTTTTTCCTAAAGCATCAAAAAGTACATGCACACTTTTAATATTTTAATTCTTTAATATTTTATCTTGGGATATCCTAGGACACAATAAAGACATGGAACTTGACTTGACTCAACAAAATGTACTTGTAGACATGTGTGTTGTGTATACAAAATATCATTGATTTGGAGTAACTTTTTTTTCCCTAGGTGCTGATATAGCCAATGTTGTCAATGAGGCAGCACTACATGCTGCCAGATATGGCAAGAAGATGGTAACAGCCCTTGATTTGGAGTATGCAGTTGAACGTGTAGTTGGTGGAACTGAAAAGAGATCTCAGGTAAATTCAGATATGTAAAGGCAATTTAATGTTTTCTCAAATGTTTCAGTGAGTGTCTTATGTGTTGGTGTGCATTTGGTAGTCTTTTCATGATAAGAATACTTGGGCTTCTTGCATATGTGGCATACTCTCCATGCACCTGCCTCCACAGTTATGGGTATGCTGTGAGATCCATTGTCACCTATGAGACAAAATAGATAGACTTTATCAAGATACAAAAAGTAATACTGTACAGGCATCACAGCACAGTATAGTCTCGATTTACACAGATTTTGTTTACGCGTTTCGTCATTTACGCGGTGCCTTGCCAGAATAAAATGTTTGAATTACGTGGAAAATTTCATCATTTACGCGACGAGCGGCTGGAGAGGTCCAGCCATTTTGAAGCCATGTGCACTTGATATTAGGAGATATTCTGCAGTCAATAGTAAATTCTTTTTACTATACAAAAATGCCTGAGTACAATACTGCATTAAAGAAAGGGTACTGGAATTTTGTGGTGAAAAGGGAGAGTCCGGATCCCCAGATCCGCCCTTGTGAGCTCTTTATGAATGTGCATTTATACCACTATTGCCTCATTTAAATCACTGTTAACCGTATTGATGCCAAATACTGTCAATAATATCTTCTTTTTTTTCATTTTCCTTGTTTTTATTTTAATTTTAAGAGCACAACTGATGATGAAAACATTATTATTAAAAGAAATAAAGAATTTCACTTTTCCCAGGTATCTATTGTATATGAAGGCAAAAGAATTTTGTTCACTAGAAATTCTCAATGTCCATGGCTAAGGTCTAAATGCCTGTTGCTTAAATGGGAACATATGTTGTTATTTTTCAGAACTGAAAGAAAATAAGTAAAGTCTTTGTAACAAATATAATACTGTATCTGGGTTCCTTGAACAATGACCATTATCAGGAGCACTTGATGAAAATTCTACCAGTGGGCTTTTCCTCTGAGCTGTTGGGGCACATTACAATCAAATGAATGCACCTTGTTGACAAGTGTTTGTTTACACTAAAACAATGGGGAGTCACCATCATGCATGTGTTGTGATGATGTCTCCAAAATTTTCTGAATTTTACTGTAAAGCATCCTCCTTGTCCTTCAGAATGTCAACTTTTTATGGCTAGAAATGAAAAGCTATGGTTTGACATGCTTAATAAAGAAGAGTCAGTTGATAAATCCCTACCTTAGCATCTAAAAAAAAAAATAGAATGGTTGGATTACTTGGCCAAGAATGGTGATCATTCATTGCTTTTGATGGGAGTCAAGGATATTTACACTGCAAGTAAAACCTCTTAAATGTTATTTAAAAATTACATTTTAGGTATGATAAAAATTTTAAGAGCGTTCTCCTTCTAACCCCTTTCTTCCCTTTAGATGTGGACTTTGATCCATTACAAATCAAAATTATCTTAACTCCCTATTTAACATCCTTTAGGGATCGCTGTATTTAAATTATGTTACATCTTGCCGAAGGCTTAGGAAAAAAAATTGACATAATAATAATGACTGTTTTTATGAGGAGAAAGGTCTCATTCTGTTGAACTTTGTCGGATTTACTTTCCAAAGTTAATTAACATATCAAAATCATCTGTGCTTTATATATTTACTGGGTAGTGTATTTGTATTGTATCTAAGAATCATTCCTACAGGCACTATCTCCAGAGGACAGGAGAGTTGTTGCTTTTCATGAGTCTGGCCATGCCTTGCTTGGCTGGTTGCTTGAACACACAGACTCACTGCTCAAGGTCACCATTGTCCCAAGAACTAATCAGGCACTTGGATTTGCTCAATATATACCAAAGGATCAAAAGCTCTACACTCAGCAACAGGTAAGCAGAGTTATTTTAGTTTCCTTCTTATGCATAATGGTAATATTATAACAATAGAGTACTTAGTTATTGAAGCCCCTTCCAAAATTAGAAAGGAAAGTAAGAATACCATAGTACATAATATTCCCAATATTAAATAAATTTTTTTATCTAATGTACAACTATAAACTTGGCTTGTGATACAGAGCTTCAATTTTGTGGTTTTGCACTTCAAGCGAACATATACTGTGCAGCATTTCTACAAATCCATAAAAATATCTGTTACTGTACAGCAGAGGTGGCCAGACTTGTGTGTGACTGGATCTGCTTTTTCCATTGTTATCCAAATGTGACATACTCGCAAAAATTTTCTTAACCGCCAACAGGTAATACAGTTGACCCTCGTTAATTCGGACCCCTTTAATCCGGATTTCGGATAAATCGGACGAAATCTGAGCTGTCAGTATCAAATTTCTGGTTCTGGGATTGTCCCAGTTGCAATTGGGATTGCAATTTCAAATTCTGTGTCACTACTAAGGAATAACGAAGTCTCTGGTACACTGCACTCTAAGATTAAGAGAAAACGGACGACTCAGGCGTCCTGAAGTGAGAGAAATCGGAGTCCTATGACGGGGCACTCAAATAAAGAGACATGCCTACATGTTTTGTGGACTACCCACTGTACAGTATTGATCATATAATTTTCATCACTTTGTAATAAACCTAGTCATGCCTATGTGTGTTTCTGATAATTACCATAACATTATATATTTATATATTTAGCAGTTGTACAAACACAAGGCCTCACACATGCCACTCAGACTGACAGACTTGACAAGTTTTACCAACCATAAAGACAGTTGAAGCTTTAAACATCGTTCACAATGGATCTTGCAAATTCTAACTGTAATCAGACATACCTAAGTTAACTCAACAATTGCAACCCCAGTTGCAATATCAAATTCTGTGTCATTACTAAGGAATAACGAAGTCTCTGGTGCACTGCACTCCAAGATTAAGAGAAAACGGAGGACTCAGGCGTCCTGAAATGAGAGAAAATGGACTCCTATGACGGGGCACTCAAATAAACATACACATAGCTGTATAATGCAATATTAACCCCTAATTCGGACAATCGGCTAAAACGGACATCCTCCCCCCCTATTAGTCCGTTTTAACGAGGGTCGACAGTAGATAAATTTTGAGTCATTTGTTGAGAGGGGGTAACCAATAATAAAATTAAATGAACGTACAGTCTCGTTCAAGATTTTTCGAACACTGCTAGAGACAGCTGGCAACTCAAGGTCGTTTGTTTACTATATTACGCAGTAAAAATTACGATTCAATGTAAAAGTGATCGGTGATTGGTCACTTACTTCCCCATTGCTTAATTAATGGTTGGGCTTTGTTGTTTTGTATTATATTATATTACGTACTATAGTAAACAAACATCCATGAGTTGCCAGCTGTCTCCAGCAGTGTAAAGAATCTTGAACGAGACTGAACATACATATTTTGTCAAATGTTTATATAATTTTCAATGGATAATCATACATCTAATAATGATATGGGGAAGAACTTACTTTACTGATGTGATGATTTGCACTGCATGGTGTCAGCAAGGTGAAAATTGACGGATTTTTCTGTTAGCGGTATCATTTTCTGTGACATTATTAATTAATTATTCCCCAAATTATTTAAATGTGTCCTTCCTTGGTGAATTACTTTTAGATGCAAAGGCAAAACAGGTCTTGAATGTTGCTACCAATAATGAAGATAATTTTATTTATTTATTTTTATTTTTTTAATAATGGATGGGTCGCCCATCTGGCAATTTACCAGGTCATGATCGACATTTTGGCCACCCCTTCTGTACACGGATTATACTTTATGGATATCCATAGGGCAAACCCATACCCTAATACAGTACCAATTTTACATAATAGGAGTACAGGTACTGTACTGTATTAAGTGTTACAGCATTTAACCCAAGTCATTTATGCACCCATTTGTGGTTTTATGTGATTTGTTGTGAGATTAGGGGGGTGAAAAATACATAAATAAAATGTGTTATTTCGGATAAGCCAGTTACTTTTAGTCAGTTACTCTCAGTGAACTTAGTATATTTTCAAAAGTAACAAATAATATTATATTTTGTAGTCATTAAAAAATATGGATAGAAAGTAATTGCTATTTTATTTTCAGATATTTGAGAGGATGTGCATGGCTCTTGGAGGTCGTGTTGCAGAATCTTTGGTATTTAATCGAGTAACTACAGGTGCACAAAATGATCTTGAAAAGGTCACCAAAATGGCATATGCCCAGGTAAATTTTGTACATCTTGATCAGATTGATTTATGATAAGAATTTAGTTTTAGTGGTTATTCCCTACAATGCCCTTCTTTTTTTTTTCTGCCAACTAGTACAGTATATCTCTCAAGGACTTCAAAAGTTGCCACATGTAGAAATATTCTCAAGCACTTCAAACTACTAACACTTATGTGATATTCCCACTGATTTTAAAGTGTGTTGTCTCAGATATTTTTAATGAACAACTGCATATACAGAGAAGGCATATCGACTTGAACATGTTTCTAGAAATTGTTTTGTAAATAAGACAATTTTCCCATCAATTTAATGTTATAATTGGAAGGTGCATTCCTGGACCAAACTATTGGACAGGATGCTCATGTCTCCATCCGTACAAAGTTTCACTCACTATAATGTCTTCATCCTCCTCATTAGAGCTTTTCTCATATTCTGAATCATCAGGATCAGACACCTCACCAATCCCACTATGTGTAGGTTCATCACGGTCTGGACCACTATGAGTGGGAAGCCTGAATAAAATCTCGTGAATAGCCAGAGTCTGGAATGAGCATAACCTTGACATTGCCAAGAAAATCAGATGACTAACATCTCCAGTACTCTGCCTGCAGTTTGAAAATATGACATAGAGGCTTCAATGTGACTAATTATATACTTCTCAAATATTTTAGAACTATCCTGCATTCTGCTGAATCATTCGGTTTACAGATGTAACCTGCAGAGGGTGACATCAGTAGCCCATGATATCACCAGCATAACCACAAACGGGTTAACAAACATAGATCATTTGCTAAAGTGTTTGCCTCACAAGCAAATGGTAGCATGTGTATTTACCGACCAGAGTGGAGGATTGGGTTACCTCCTTGTACATTGGCATGTGTGCACTCGGCAGTAAATGAGTACAGTAAAAAAAAACATAATTCGAAGTAACGGCCCTTATGAATTTTGGGATTTTACGAATTATGAGGGACACCCCCCTGAAGGAAAAACAAACAAAACAATGGTACTTTTCCCTTAAGTGGCCCAATCACCATTTTAACATTTCTAAGTACAGTACCAGATTTAGGGTTATCAAACAATGGCTCAAACACTGGACAATGATGTAAAAACAAGTAGAAAAGGCTTGCGCGGTAGACCATAGATGTGTCCACGACTGACCCACGTGAACTGACCGACAGGTCCGACACATGTATTGTATACTGTTTAGACTGAGGTGGGCGGTCGCATCTCACAGAGACATGTGCCTTATACATACAGTATTTGTAAATGTCTCTCATAATTCACAACTGCAACCACAATGCATAATTATCACAACCTGTACTCAAGTGTACCAAGTTAATTACTAAAATTGTTATGTCTAGTGCAAACTGTAGGATGTTTATACTCAAATTAATTACTATCTCGCAAGAATTCTAGCAGTACACGTTATATTCTGCTAAGTCAAGTCGGTGACATTTTATAAGCAAAAAAAACTTAAAATCCCTGTCTTTTATAATCCCCAGTCCCTCCTGACCCCTCCACTGATAACTACACACCCACCTCCCTCTCCCCTACCAGCCAGCAGGGGAGGCAGATGGCAGTGGGTGATAACAATTAATGGGATGAAGGTGATTTTAGGCTTAAAGTTTTTCTCTTATGAAATGTCAGACTTGAATTAGCAGGATTTAACTTGCATTGCTGGAATCCCTGCAAGATAGCAATTAATTTGAGTACAGTATAAACATCTCAAAGTTTGCACTAGAGATAAAAAGTTTAATCCTTTAGCTTAGTACATTTGAGTACAAAGTGAGTACAGTAAAAAGTTGCTCAAAATTATGACTTTTTCACAGAGAAAAGTCTGTATAACTAACCCCAGTGGTCAGGATATTATGGCATTGAATGTTCAGAGTATTTCAAATAAAATCTTTGTTTAGTTCTGTACATAGACTGGTGGTGGAGGAGGAGGGATGGAGACCCTTAGTGTGAGAAACTGACCGTTCACCCCCCACCCCTGCCTCTTGTCATTCTTACTGTAATTCAACAAAATACTGTTTATTTGTTATTTATTAATTAGTAAAGATATGTTACTGTAATAATTTGAGCTTATTAATACCAGTACCCTTCATATACAGTATATTTATTTTTTCTAAAGCAGTATTTAATATTTTATATTATCAATTATAAAACATACACCATAAGAGGCTGATCATACAAGAATAAATAATAATAAATGTTGGAGGGTGGGTGTGTGTATGTGATGTTGAGGTGTGTTCCTGACACACACACACACGAATTAAGAAAACACGCAACTCTCTAATCACCCACACCTTTCTGCTTTCTCACTCCATATTTTAAAATGTTATGTACAGTAATACCTCGCTTTACGCGGTCAATTGAACCCACAGAGGCCCGCGTAAAGTGAACAACAGAACATATGGGATTAATTGAAATAGAGACTGGGCCGACCCCCAAACTCCACTTTTTCAGACACAATACCTACGTTGTAGTAAAAATAACTTCTTAATTTTATGATGGTATGCACACACAATTAATAATTAAGAGAAATATCAATAATATTAGGTTTTTTAACACTTACGGTAGTAGAAAAACGTTAGTAGAAAAGATGGCTGGGCACACGGGGATGGGGGGTTGGTTCCGAGGCAGAGGGCAGATTATTGGCCCTCACCTGTATCAATTGTATCACTATCCACCACAGAGGCTTGCAGGGCCTCTTTGTCAAACCCCTCAAAGTCCATATCCTCACTATCACTGACTTGGGCCGGCTGTGGTGGGTGGCGGGTGAAGAACTCGGTAATGTTTTGATGACTGGGCGACCTTGTGCGCACCCTGCCCGCGCCGCTTCCCGCGTATATGAGTAGATGCACCGCGTAAAGTGAACATTCTGGTTCTGGCGAGGTACCACGTAAATGTAGAAACGCGTAAAAAAAAAAAAAACGTGTAAAGCTGGGTATTACTATAACAATGTTGAAGGATACAACTTTGCAAATTTATACTTATCACATCTCCTAAAAATACTTTAGCTTTTGTATTTTTTCAAGACATCTTCAGGTCATGAGACCCACTAATCCCCACCCAAGAAAAAGAAAAGGCAACCTGAAATTCCATCCCTGTAAATTCAACTGCCTCTGAAGATTTCTTGAATAAAGACAAAAGCTAAGGTTGACAGAGAGCTCGATTTAGCGGAAATTTCAATTCAACGAATAGGGTTGGCTCAAATTAATTCATTAAACCAAGAAAATACTGTATTTCGTAACAGCAAAACATTACAAATTATGAGTGATTTCGAATTGAGGGAATATGAATTTTTTTTTTGTACTGTATACTATTGATACTGTACTGTAGGGGGCAGGGAAAAAACACTTTTATTTGAGTTGCAGGCTGCACTTTTCAGGCATCGTTTGTATGGCTGTAACAAACACCTGTGCAAAATTTCATGCCATTTCATGCATACTTACCCTGCCGCATCGCGAACTACTTTTTGTCAACTTTTAGTGTATACCAAAAATTAGGTGTCATTTAATGTTTTCCAGGATAATGATAAATTTTACATGGGTGACATCGATTTAATTCACATGTTATTTTACAGGTACACCGTATAGAAAATCATTACAAGTTCATATTGAAATTCTTTTTTGTGCGGAACCTTGGCATCATTTTCCTAGACAATAATCTTTGCCTAATATATCCATCTCTCGATTCGTATCCCGTCACTTCAGTGCAAGCTTCAGTCATCACTTTTATGCCTCTCTCGACCGCCTGAGTGCTGTTTGGCCACTTGGGCACCACTAATGGTGTCTGAAGAATGTCATTAACCTGTAGATTTGACAGAGAAGCAATGTAAGGAGGCTCAGTCTTGAGTTCATTCCTCCAGTTAATCATGGAATGATAGTTTTTTGCTTGCCACTTTAGTTTCGGAGTCACCACCTTTCTCATGTTGACTACAGGAGGCACATCCTCATTCCCATCTCCATCTTTACCCTCCTCATCAGTATAGTTTAACAAATTCTCGTCAACAGCAGCATCAGAATCTTCCTCCTCCTCTTCAGATCTGCCAGTGCATTCTTCCTTTTGCTGATTCTCCTCTCTAATTTTTCTTATCATTGAGACAGCTTTTTCTCTAACAGTCATGTCCTCATCTGCACACATACCAAGAAGAAGTTGATCTGTGTGGGCGAAGTATGCATTTCTCTGGACAGCCTTCTTCACTATCGTCTCCTCCTCACTATTCAGGTGTTTCATATATAGCAGGGACTGGAATACGTTCCTTGAGCCGTGTGTTACGTAAGGGTGTATCTTGATGTAAAACCACATTGGAGCACTGAACTTTATTATTGTAATGACAATTCTTTTCAACTCATGGCTGGGTCTTGATGTTGCTACATACAGCCTGAGGATTCTACTCCATAAGGTGTTCCACCTTGACACACAGGGAGAACCTGGCTCAATAGCAGCCAAGTCATCTTCAACAACACCTGTGATAACTCCTTTACAAATCCTATACAGGTATTTCTGATCCCAGGACAGATCTTTCTCCACTTCATCATTAAACACAGGGAAATCAGGGAAACTGACTGGCTGGAAGGCGACAACTGGAAGCTCAGACAAAGACTCCTTGATCTGCTTTCCAATGGGACCACGCCAATGCTCAGGACCACTTGGTTTACCATCATAGTGATAAAAAACTGCGCGGAAAGGCAGCTCATTTCCGTGAAGCTGACATATGAAATAATGGAGTGGGTGACCAAGTAACATTTCAAGATGATGAATGACTCCATTTTCTGATCCTACATTTACATTGGTTCCATCACAACCAACACACACAATGGGCTGCTGGGTTAGATTTTTCTCCACCAGAAACTCGTGAATAGTTTTGGCAATCTGCTTTCCGTGTCCAGTCTTGGGAGTCACATGTGTGAGATATTCATTGCCAGGCTCAACCATGATGACATAATGATCTTTCACCATCATCCTCGAACTCCATTTCTCGGTCTTCTCATTCTTTATCATCACACGAGTGGCGGTCTTCTTACCATCAAAATAGAGTGACGTCAAATTATGAAAAAAAAAGTTGATAAACACTGAACAGAACATTGCACCGCCACAGCGGCTGTTTGGCTAGTACTGTAGGTAAATTTAAAAATTTCAGTAGAAAATGCGGAAGACTAAACCTCGACATATCAGCTTCAAATTTGGCATGGAGTCTTAGATATGTATAAGGAACAATGCCTGAAGAGTGCAGCTTTGAGCAAAATTTCACTGCCCCCTACTGTACTGTATACTATTGAGAGCACTTGGCAGTGGTGGTACAACTCCTTAAGTAGACTAGTATCTTTCCAAGTGAGTGGTGGGTATATTATTATTTGCTGAACATAAAAAAAATCAACAGCAGCCATTGTGCACCACAGAAAGAAAACATTTGCATTTGTAATAATAGTAAAAGCAAGGGGTTTCACCCAGAAATGTAATATTGTCTCTCAAAGTAATTGATATCCTTTTCCATTAGAATTGACCTCTGCTCTGTAACCATGTTTTTAATTTAGGCATGTATCATCATATAGTTGGGCAATTTACTGGTTGAAGGCGAATGCACTTGAATACTCAAAATTACATTTTTATTTTAATGAGGACGGACTAATTTCGTTACCTTTCATTGTACAAATATGCCCCTCCTGAGCCAGGCATGTGTGTGAAAGGCACTTATCACATTTAGACAAGAAAATAAAAAATCTCAAACTTTTTTTCAGATACGATCATTTGGGTTCAGTGAATTAGTTGGTCAGGTGTCCTTCCCTGAAGAAGAAACTAGGGAAGTTGGGCGACGGCCATTCTCTCAAAAGTTAGCAGCAAGTATTGATGAAGAAGCTTCCCGGCTAATATTTGATGCATATAAAAAAACAGAAGAAGTCCTGAAGGCAAATATGGATAAATTAAGACTGGTGAGTACACTAGAATTGTTCAAGTAGGAAAACAGCTGTAGTTGGTAAACTTGATTATGAATCAACAGACAATACATCTAGTATTACAAAGTGAATATATTTGGATTAGGCCCATTATGTAGTCCCGCCAAAAAAGCATTGTTAGATTTTTAGTCGCTACAATTTGAAACGCTAGACAAAGTGCTTTGATATGATCCCCAGTGCATCATCATAAGTTGGTATGCCCACCCATCATATCAGCAACAGCTAGTACGGCATACTAAATACTCCAATATAACAAAAAAATCTATTAAGTATATTAATGTATGTATTGTGTTGGGTATAAGCAAGGCATATGTAAACAAGTCACTGACTGATGATTACAATAACATTGAAACATACAGTACAGTGACCCCTCCGTTAACGAACTCAATCCATTCCAGAAGGTCGTTCGTTAACCGAAAAGTTCGTTAACCGAAACCATTGTTTCAATGGGTTTTTGGGTAATTGGTTCCAGCTCACCGAAAATTTCCTAAATTCAACAAAAATGGTAGAAAAGTTCACTTACTTTGAGGTGTGTATGTAGAAGGCTCCTGGATGATGATGATGATGATGGGATTTAGAATGGGGGTGGAGGAGAAGGAAGAAGAGAAGGCATTGGGGTGGAAGAGAAGTCACCCCATGGCGCCATTTCACCCATAAAATTTTAGCTCTCTTGGTGTAATTCAAGATTATTTTCTTTAAATCAACACTGCACTGCATTATATATTGTCAATATGTAAAATATATTTCAAAATGACCAATAATTTGCTTGGAAACACAGAAAAAAAGTGTTTAGTTGAAGAGAGTCTCAAGCAAGATGTTACCTCCAGTGAAAACAGAGAGAGACTAACTCCTGTTTGCTGTGTTAAGAGGCTGGATGCCGCGCATTAAACTAGTCACTTTACCTTCAATTATGTTCAATAATTGTTAAAATGACTAAAAAATTGAATATTAAACTTTTAAAATTATTGAATAGTATAAACTTCTTGATATTTACTAAAATAGTAAGGAATTTAAGCCCTAGAACCGATTAATGTATTGGCGGACTGATACTAAAGCTGGTTGCCCGGTCAGTGCAAGCGAAAACATGTTGAGGTCGGTTCGTAAGAACTTCGTTAACCGAATTTTTTTTCGTTAACCGAATTGAAGATCCTTATGGAAGGCAGTTCGTTAATCGAAATTACGTTAACCGAGGTGTTCGTTAAACGAGGGGTCACTGTACATTAAATGGAGATGTTTCAGAACATCATAACCGAGACCTCAAAGTAGACATTTCATCATTACGTCATTGTACTAATGGAATTTCATTCATACCGAGTTTCACAATATGCCGACTCATATTGTTCACTATTTGTCTCGTTTATAAAGTGACTAACCAAATAGTACTTGATAGTAAAGTGAACAGCTACAGCAATATACAATATATCGGTCTACATGGGGATTTGCCATGTTACTGATATGTAAATTGCATTAGTTCCAGCCTAATCACATGATGACTGGTTTAAAGGGCAATTTAGGTAAATTCTATCCTGTCAGAAAAACCTTCCCCCTTCTTTGTTACAATAAATTCTCATATATAGTCAAAGACATTATTCCTCATTTCAATCAATGTAAGATCCCTTTGATGTACTATATGTAATATAATCATTCATGCTCAAAGGTTGCGGATGTATAACTACCAACCGTTCAGAACTAGGTAACTAACATTCCTCGGACAGCCTCGAGTCACATTGACCCCATGGCTAATGTTACTTTTTGGGGGGAATGTACAATACATCATTGTGTTAGATTGTGAGATTAATACTGTTCCAAGTCGGCATGTTTGTAATGTCTGTTTATTTCAGATTTCACGTTTATAACCCCATTGTAAATATTTGTAGTTCTTGTCAATTCCTCCTTTAAATTATATTTACAGTATGATATTTAATTTTATTTGGGTAAAGAACAGCCACCCTGTACTGGTCATGTATCTTATCTTTCCCAGCTGGCCGAGGCTTTGCTGCAGAAGGAGACCCTAAACTATGACGACGTTGAAGCAATACTTGGTCCACCTCCATTTGCCAATAAAGTAGCTATAGAACCAATACAGTTTGAGGGGGAAATCAATACTTGGAAAGAAGCTGGTAAACAAAGTTGAGGTGTCTAAATTATACATTCTTTAGTTCATTTATATCGACAATATAACCTCTGTCATATATTTTTTTGTGTGATCTTTGTTTTTGTATATAAATAAATAATAAATCGTAAATAATGTTTCCCTTGTTTGCTGAATACTGTACATAAAATATTTTCTCTTTAATTTTCACCAAATCTAATAAATATTGATAATTATAAGTGATATTATGGAAAATTTATTCAATGTTTTGAGTAGCCTCTGAAAGACATGATGTTATCATTAATAATCTTCTAAGCATACACAAATTTCATGAAACCTTCCAATAATTGCAATTTGTACCTAATTTCTCTTTTTTCCAAACATTATGCTAATCCATGTTACCTAGGATTCACATAATTGTTACTTTCCATTTTCTATCACAAAGGAAAGATTATTCATGAAAAAATATTTTTAACACAGAAATCAAGCTGCTTTTATATGTCTTGCCATTTCCCAAAGTGAGGAAGGTTCAACTTACCAATGCATAGAGAGAAGATGCTAGTGTTTTTTTTTTTTTTTTTTATATATATATAAAATACTGTATACAATTGCATTGCATTAGCAAAATGGAAATTCTAATTACTTGTTGTCTTGTCGTGTAAGAGGGTAAAAGTGTCAATGCAAAAATGATGAATGAAAAATAATTAGATGTACCAGTAACTGAAAGCCTCTGTTTCTATAACACATTTGCCCCCATTGGTCCAAAAGTAATCACACAATATGAAACTTTAATCTTTATATGCATCCAAGGATACATATAAAGAAGCCCACAGAATTTCATTATTATAGACCAGGTTTTTTGCTTCTTCCATCTCATGTTGGTATTACAAACAATGACACTGTAGACCGTCTTGCAAAGAATGCCTGTAGACTGGCCCTCCCTCCTGCTGGGGCTACACCCTCCCTCCTCTGCTACCGAAAGAGAATACGTTCAGCCGCTATTTTCCCTACAATCCATCACAGAGATAGTGAACGGGCCGAGAGTATACCCGCCCAACACTATAATCACTTTCTTCCGTATCCAAGTACTTATGGTCCGCAGAAATAATGTTGTCTCGGCTTGTATTAGGTTAGAATACATACACACATACCTGGCAAGTATCTGAGGCGGGGGATGTCCCGCACTTCTCGTCTTGTAAACTCTGTAACTGTTCCAATACTAACACCCTTCAACACTATTGCCTTGACTGTCCCACTGTCAGGGACCTCCTACCACAGGAAGAGTCACTAACCACTATACAGTGGTCCCTAGTTAACGAGCGCCTCGGTTAACGAGTTACCTTCCATAAGATTCTTAACTTTGGTTAACGAGCAATCCCCCGATTAACGAGTTTCTTACGAGCCAACCTCAACATGTTTTCACTTGCATTTGGCGGTCCACCAGCTGTAGTATTAGTTCGCCAATACAGAAATCGGTTCTAGGGCTTATATTCCTTACCATTTTAGTAAATATCAAGAAGTTTATACGATTGTAATCAATAATTTTAAAGTTTAATATTAAATTTTTTAGTCATTTTAACAATTATTGAACATAATTGAAGGTAAGGAAACTAGTTTTATGCGCGCCATCTAGCCTGTCAACACACCAAACAGGCGTCAGTGTTTGTGTCTTTTCAGTGGAGGTAACATCTTGCTTGACTCTCTTCAACTAAATGATTTTTTTCCGTGTTTGCGAGCAAATTATTGGTCATTTTGAAATTTATTTTACATATTGACAATATATAATGCAGTGCAGTGTTGATTTAAAGAAAATAATCTTGAATTACACCAAGAGAACTAAAATTTTATGGGTGAAATGGCGCCATGGGGTGACTTCTCTTCCACCCCCATTCTAATTCCCATCATCATCATCATCATCCAGGAGCCTTCTACATACACACCTCAAAGTAAGTGTACTTTTCTATCTTTTTTGTTGAATTTAGGCAATTTTCGGTGAGCTGGAACCAATCACCCAAAAACCCATTGAAACAATGGTTTCGGTTAACGAGCAACCTTCTAGAACGGATTGTGCTCGTTAACCGAGGGACCACTGTATATATATATATATATATATATATATATATATATATATATATATATATATATATATATATATATATATATATATATATATATATATATATATATATATATATATATATATATATATATATATAATATTCAGAAATTTCAGAGTAATTTCAAATGCCGCGCCATTGGCGATACTGAGTTTTCAAGGTCGTCTGAGGGAAGAGAGCGCTCCCCGCACATAGGAGAGGTTGTGGAACTAGGCCTATATGATATTAAATGTAATTTGCCGAATTAATAATGATGCGAATCATGAAGTTAAGGGACTATTATTGAATTTGGAATTATTATAGATCGTTTATCAGTCTGAATAATGTTGCAGGTGTCCCAAGGAGTTATTAGTTAGGCGGAAAATATGTCACGTAGGCCTAAGCTAACGCCTTGAGAGGACACGAGGTTGGCTAGCTCTCAGTAACGCGAAAGCATTCGGACCAACAAGACGTCCCTGCGCGTCCGTCACAGAAATAGTCACGTGGCCTAGTCACCTGTGTTGCACTATTGCAGTATAACAAGTAAGTCTCATTCGATCTCAGACAGGGTTTAGATAGGGCAGTGATAAAGTTAACAAGAGATAACAGTGAGTTCATTTCAGGGTTTCCGTCAGAACCCACTTGACTGCGAGAAATTGACTGCGAGACATTGACTGCCGTTGATGATTGAGGATTGGCGATTGTTGCCATTGGACCGATCAGTGTAGGCCTGTCACTGTTTAGCGGGGTATCAAAGGATCTCTTGAGTGAATCTAGCCGTCTGGGTGCCCAGCTGACGACGGGACGATCGTTGGGGTCATCAGCTCTCCTCTACCTCGGCTCACAATACCACATATCTTAAGCAGCTTAGTGAAACCCTCTTGCTAACAGGAAGCTAAAGCTTCTCTCAACTGTACAAGGTCTGATTGGCTCACTCCCTTCCGCTTCATGGATGTACTGGGGGTAAAGTGAAGCCAGCTGAGTGATACAGGGCCGCACACTGGGGCCAAGAGTCAGTGGAGTTTAGAGGTACACTTTCCAAGGTGGAGAAAGGCTGATTTGGGCCTTAAACTACGGGTGCCTGTTGGTTGTGCCTTAAACGACTACGGAGTGCAGGTGGAATCTGTGTGTGTGTTAGGTTAGGAAGCATGGTTCACGGGTATTGGTGGACTCAGTAACTTCTTAATAATAGTGACAATATTTTTGTGTGTAGTTAATACTATTTTTTCAGTTACTAATGTATGCTGTGTGCATTTAATATTTCTTTATAATCTCAATCTCAGGTATCACCTTTGTTCCCCAGAGTAGTGTTTAAGTTAGGTTAGGAGGTGTGTATCTGTTGGGGGTAATATAATTTTGTTGAGCGTCCTGAAGGCCTATTCAGGGTGGAGTTAATACGCTCTGATTTTTACTCGGTATACCATTTTCTCAGTGCTGGATATAATTTTGGTGAGTGCCCTTGAGGCCTATTTATTGTAGAGTTATTAATTTCTTATTTTTTTAATACCATTTTCTCAGTGATTGATATTTTGTTGAAAGCCCTTAAGGCCTGGTTCATGTGTGCTAGCAACATTTCTTAATACTGTACTTTAAACTTATTATCCTCTAATGAGGTTCTAATAATTTCAACATCATGTATAACTTTTATTCCCCAGAGTAGTATTTTAAGTTCAGGTTAAGAAGTGCGCATATTGGTGTACCATTATTTGATTGTATTTGTAGTGTTGGTAGGGAATATAAGTGTAAATTTTACAGTGTGTCTCATACATCCCAGTCACAGACGCTATCCTTCCACGGGTCACGGACAATTCATTTTGGTTAGTAAAGTTAAGTGCTCTTGTGCTGGTTCAGGATTTCTCACTAAGGGGCGCTTCCACTGCAATTACCATCTAATAATCTTTAATAAACCCCAAGTCAAGTAAGAAATTAAAGGTGGAAATAAACTTGTAATGTCTAATAGTGGCCTCATTAATATTCCTTCGTCTAACAGATTTGCAAGCAAGAAAAGAAAGTAAGCTTATTTATCTGCATAAATTTATGAAATTGTGAGGTACCTCATGAAATGTGGATTTATGTTTAAAAACAAATACTTTGCTGTAAATGTATGTATTTTTTCTTTACTAAACTGGAACCAACATCAGAAAATATATTAACCTTTAGTCTTTAAAATTATTCCTTCAGTCATCTTCTGTAAATAACACTGAAAGATGGGGATGCACGTTTTCCAACAGTTCCTTCCGCACAGCCTCGTCACTAAGAATGGATGGTGGCAGGTTAACCTCCTCACTGAACACAACCTACAAGAAATATTAAAGTTAGTTTTTAGCATGAGGTCACTATGATTTAAGGAACAAAGCTCCTTCAGCACAATTACAACTTGGGAGCATAAAATCAGATATATGGGGTGATTGTTTATGAAAGCTAGTGGATAATCAGTGTTGAGAATAGAATACTGCAAGGAAAATTGGAGGTACCCTGTGAACACTGGTAAATGGTAAATTTGTCAAATTTTGGTAAATTTGTCAAAATTTACAATGTGCTTGGAGCATAAACAGTATGAGGTACAACATCACCATTTCTTTCTATTCTGTATGGGTGTGAAATCAAATGCTTCCAAAATAGATAAGATGAGAATGAGAGCAATAGAAATTAGTAATGTATGTATTCAGTTTTACAAGACTTTAACAAACTGGTAGGGTATGAGAACTATAGATTTGGTGGAGAATCCTTGGAAACCTACTATAATGAATGTACAGTCAACAAATAAAATTTCTGCAACTTTATGGTGTTATACAATATGACACACCAGACCAAGAATTCTGAACAACAATCATTAATGCAAATGATTCCTGGTAATTTCTCTGTATTAACTATGTGATATAAAAAATACATAATACTGGTTATACAATGCATCACATAACCAGAAATACCAACCTTACCAAATTAACATGGCCTCAGCCAGTGTTCGTTGCAGAGGCCATCAGACCAGGGGGGTGTAGAATTTTTTTTGCTGACTGTACATCTATTTAGGCTTTACAGACATGTGATTATTTCAGAGTACTGTAATACCACACAAGAAAGCAGTGGGAAGATCTAAGAATTTACCATTTGGGCATGACAAGGATACTGTCTATAAGAGAGTTAATAAAGATGGGAGTCAAACAAGTCAGGTTACCCAAAATAGTCTTGGTGTTTGTGTTTCACCCCACTTATATGGTAATGGAATATAGATGACATACAGACACACTCACTTCATCACGACTTGAGTCAGGATGGTCGGGGTCTTCATCGTCCGAGTCTCCAGCTTCACGAAGTCTCTGAAGTAGACCATCCTCCTCCAAAATAGGTTGCAACCATCTACAACATAAACACAATAAAAATCTTAGGATATAGCCACCCTTATTTACCTAGCTAATCTCCAACTCTTATAACAAAAAATAAACCTACCCCATTTACAGCTATGGTGATTATTTAGCACCTTAAGTTGTGGTGACCAAACATTCTGTGTAAATAAGCCTTTATTCTTTATGTTGACATGATGATGTGATACAGAAATGTACAGTGCCATCATAAATTTTAAACCGATATCTCACTCCATAAAATATCTTTATGATTTTGTGTGAAACAACTTGACACAACGGATGAAGGATTTTGACAACCCAATCGAGTCAACTGGAGTTTTTATGTTCATTCTGAAATACTTTTTGGAGCAAGTGTACAGTGAGAGAATGAAGTATCTTCCCAGCTTTGGCTAAAGTATAATGAAACCTGACTACCCAACACAGTGAATGGTGTCCCTGGCAACCCCTTTCCAAGGTTCCACAGGCCTGCCACCTGTTTATGGGCTCCACAAATGCTTGTGCTGAGTGGCTCAACCTTTCTGCTTTGTAAATTAATTTCACCATTAGCCAAAATAATTAGTGCGGAGTGGTTCTGGGTTTGAGAGATTTCTGGGTGTGCAGACAAGTTTTCTCACCCCCAGAATTTCTCCAGGTACAGTATGTCCTCGCTTAATGTCGTGGTTCCGTTCCTGAAAACCGCGACATTAATGGAAACAACATTAATGGAATCAATTTTTCCCATAAGAACTAGATAAAATACAGGAGTTATGTTCCCGAGCCTCCCTTTGGCCCATGAAATACATTACATATACAGAAATTCGATGTCATTTTTATAGAAAATAGTATATACAATGATCCCTCGGTTAATGAATGCCTCGGTTAACGAATTACCTTCCATAAGAATCTTCATTTCGGTTAACGAAATTCTTACGAAATCATGTCAACATGTTTTCGCTTGCTCACCAGCTGGAATATTAGTCCGCCAAAACCGTAATCAGTTCTAGGGCTTAAATTCATTCCCATTTGAATAAATACCAAGAAGGTTGTACTATTCAATAATTTTCCAAGTTTTATTTTAAAATTTTTAGTCATTTTAACACTTATTTAACATAATTGGAGGACAGGAAACTAGTTTTCGGTGCGCCAATCAGCCACTTGACTCACCCACCAAAGCATCAGTTTGTATCTCTGGTCAGTGGAGGTAACATCTTGCTTGTGGGTCTCTTGAACATAAACTATTTTTATGTTTTTACAGTACAATTATTGGTCATTCTGAAATTTGTTTAACATATTGACAATATATAGTGCAGTGCAGTGTTGATTTAAGAAAATAGTCTTGAATTACACCTAGTGAACTTAAAATTTTATGGGTGAAATGACAGCATGAAGCATGGGGTGATTTCTCTTCCACCCCCACTTCCTTCTCTTCTCCCTTCTCCTCCACCCCCACTTATAATTCCCATCATCATCATCATCATCATCATCAACCAGACGCCTTCTACATACACACTTCAAAGTAAGTGTACTTTACTGCATTTTTTTTTACTTTGTATGTAATTTTCGGTCAGCTGGAACCAATTACCCAAAATCCCATTGAAACAATGATTTCGGTTAATGAACGACCTTCTGGAACGAATTGTGTTCGTTAACCGAGGAACCACTGTACTGAATTGGCAGACTAGCCCATCAACTGATGCTCACAACAAAACGTGTTTGTCATAAGGATTTCGTTAATCGAGGTTTTGTTCGTTAACCGAATTGAAGATCCTTAAGGGAGCTAATACGTTAACTGAAATTTTGTTCATCGAACTGTTCGTTAACCGAGGGACAACTTTATGCCTTATTACATCACATCGCATCAAGCTGCTGGAACCATCACTGGGGCAATTAGGCATGATTGCCTAACACAAGTCAGAAATAATGAAAAAAAACCCACAAAGTAGAAGACACATGGCAAGTGTAAACAAGTGCAGAGAAGCGGGAATGAGTCCGAGGCAGTGCGCAGAGCCCTTTCGTGGCAAGAATCTGCACCAAACAACCGCTCCTCCCCCAATCATTGAATCACCAGGGTATCAACGAAACTTGCAGGTATTTTCCCAATATATAATCATTGGTTACGAGAAATGGCGGTCAATGGGACATCGGATTTTTAGGTATACAGTACAGAATGTCCTTCAAATTCACGGGGGTTAGATTCTTAAAAAGGCCGTGAATCGACACATCCGCAAATAACATTTGCTAACGGAGGGGGGGGGGGGGACATTTTTAAGTGTGTACAAAGAAATGTATATTCCCTTTATGTGTGTGCCCTTGGACAATTATTTCTTATACCTGTATTGTATATATGTGTGTATGTGTGAGGATTTTTCCATTATTATATATTTGTACAGTACAGTATATGTTTTGCGTGTGTGTCTCTCTCTACACACACAAACACATATATACAATATAGGTAAAGGAAATTACCGTCTCTAGAACGAATGGCTCTCTGTCCCGGCCGCAAAAATGTCGGCAACTTTAAAACTACCCGCAGACATTCTTGGGTACATCCAGTGTCATCTGCGAATAATAGAGGACCGCGAAATAAAAATCCGCCAATTATCTGGCCGTACTGTACCTGTATTCATCAAAACCACGAAATGATACCCAATTCTCTTACTGTACTTATACAGTATTTTTATCTGTACCAGTACTTTGTTTCTGATTTAATTAAAAATAAATATATACAGTATATTGAATGTACTTTATTACTATTAATCACACACATACACACACGGCCACAACCACAATATTATATATGCACATTAATCTTACCTTTTGTCTTCATATAACTCTGAATCTGGAAGAGTGATGTGATTGGCTAAGACTCGGTGCTCCTCCATTGAATCTGTCCTGCTGAACACTTGCCCACAGAAGTAGCACTCACTTTTTGCTGTCTAAAAGAAAAGCATGAAAATTATATAATGGCCTTGTATATCTGCTTCATACATATACACAAAGGAAATAGAATTGCATATAAAACTTTTTCTGTGTCAATATTCAGTGTACAGTTTTGTAAACTTGTAAAGGCTATCTATGTATCTACATACTGGTCACACTGTCTTCACAACTAGATGGTGTAGGGTACATCCACCTATAATATTAAATCAGTTCATAAAAACCTGAAGCATACCGATACGTTAAAAAACAAAACATATACGGTACCTAAAATTATTTTTCAACAAGTACAAGGAATACTGTATTAAATACCAATTAGTATACAAACAACAAATGTGCATATGAGCATACAGGTTAGCTGGGACTTATTATGGTAGTCATTCATACTACCGTACTAGCAAAAGGTTTTGAGGTCAGACAACACGAAAAGATGTGAAAGTTAGTTGTGGAAATAAGACGAGGCTGTTTAGCTTTATGAAAGTTCTCAAATAGTGTGGGAATAAGATATGCTGTATATCTTTGTTATTTGATATAAGGAAGGAACAATTATGGAAACGAAAAATAAGAATGGATGAGGCAGGTGTCAAGCTGGTGACTGAAGAAAATACTTGATGGATAACAGAAGAATGACAAATATAAATTTCAGAAAGAGAAATGTGGTTTTATAAATAAGGGAATGTGAAACAGTAGATTTCCCTGTACCAAAGAGAAGTGGAAAATTGGGATGGGTTCAATATTGGAGGAGATGATGAAATTTAAGACCTTAGAATTAGCTGTATAGATATACGGCATAATAGGTCAAAATCAATACCTTCCATCTGATATAGTTGATGAGTTTCACTTGGTTATAAAATGAGAGCTCCTTCATTACTTCAGTAAAATCAAAGCAATGCAGAGATCGCATGTGACTGTAGACCTGCACATGAGCATGGTCTCCAGATGCTGTGTACAAGCAAAATAAACACATCACAGAACCATACACATCTCCACTGTCCATCCCATTTATTTCTTCCCTCAGTCTCGAGTCTTTTAGTATCGAGTTGCTATGTGGTAAAATGTCTTCTGGAACAACCATCTGTAAGAGGATTTAACATCATTAGTAAAATTAATTATTTAGATATACTGTACTGTATTCATTAATATATCACCAAGCACTTAAATTAAAAGCAAGTTGTATTTTAATCTAAAATTCACTAATGGTAATTAAAATAAATAAAACTTGAGACCAGGTCTATTCTCAATGCATGATGATGGAATGTGAATTAAATCCATAAAAGTAGAAGTATGACATCATTGTAATCATCATCAAGGTTTTATGGACATTTTTCATACAGTATTTGCATGGGTTAGCAGCAATTAATTGATGGCAACTACTGTACTAGTTAAACAAGAATGGGATACCATCCCTCCCCTGCTCACCACCACACACCTAGGGTACTAGCCCCAAAAATGTAGCAGAGACTAGGGGATGGGTACAGCTCTGGTCACCCAGTTGCTATAAGACATGTTGAAGTAAAGCTTTACAGCTGGATGGCCTTCCTAATACAACCCATTGTATGGGAACAGCTGGCAAGGCAGGGTCGCAACTCCCCGAGGTAATCAAAGAATAATTTTTACCTATTCAAAATTCTCATGAATGGAGGAACTTTTTACAAACAGTGAAAACCAGGAGAGAAGACTCTACATGACTGCCAACTCACAAAAGTAAAGTACCCTTACTTTTCTTAACTTCAAACAAATTGCAAAGCTTTCTATCAATAAACAGGTTTTACAGTAGATTAAAAAAAATTGTCTGTAAATGTACGAAGGATAAAATTTTTCCCCTTTTTAAACAGAGTATGATGTACAGTCAATCAAAAAACTACAGTACAGGTATCTGTACTTGGGAGGTCGACGAATTTCAGAATGAACACTGAAACTCCGGTTGTCTTGGTAGGGTTGTCAAAATCCTTCATCCGTTGTGTCATATTGCCTAACATAATTTTGTATGGATAGTTTTTTGGTCAACTGTACAATATATTATATGAGCAAAAGTTACAAAAATTACAGCTCCTGTATTGGCTTTAGAGAAAAATATATAATCTTTTAACTGAATCACTTTTCACCCTCTAAAATATATTTCAATGTGATCTTAACATGGCCCTCATCCAGTCACCTTAATCAAGAGATTGGATACTAAATCAAAATTACATCTTACAACATCATCCTGAGGTGAGCAGCAGCTTCCAGTCTCTGCATCATGCATTTCATTGTCATCTAAATGGCATAGCAGACCATCATTTTCAAATACTGGGATGTGATATCTGTTTCAAAAAGAACAAAAAATCATTTAGCTGTGTATACCATATGCACATGTAATCACAGTGTAATGAATATTAATAAAATGACTTACTCTATATATATCGAGAGTATACAATATTTCTAATGCAAGTACAGTACAATACACCACATTATACACATACAGCCTGCCCTGACAATTCGCGGATTTTTAATTCACAGACCTCAATTATTTGCGGATGGCACCCTGGATGTACCCAAGAATGTCTAAGGGTAGTTTTAAAGTTGCTGGCATTTTTGTGGCCAGGACAGGGAGCCTTTTGTTCTAGACACAGTAATTTCTTTTACCTGTACTGTACAGTATATGTAAGTGTGTGTGTGTGTGTGTGTGTATACACACAAACTCACACATAAAAAAACTCACATACAAATAAATAATAATAGGAAAATCCTCTCACAAATAATCAGAAACAAGTCGACTCCGTCCTTTGTTATTAAATTTAACTTTTAATAATAAAGGAGTTGACTGGAGGGTAGACTTCTAATGACCACGGTCATACACGTCAGTTAACGCCAAAATCAGACGATTCATATTACGCTCAACAGCCCACAAAACATGCCTTCGTTTGAGTCCCACATCTGAGGAGTCTTTTCTCATCGCCTCAAGACGCCTCAATTCTCCGTTATCCCATTTTCTCTAACTTACTGAAACCAACCTCCCTATAAAATGAATTTGAATGTTAGAGAGAACACCCTTGTTTTGAGTCAACTTAGATATGTTTGATTACAGTTAAAGCATGCAAGATTCTTTGTGAGTGATGTTGAATGCTTTAACTGTCCTTATTGTTAGTAACATTGGTTAAGTGAGTGAGTGTTCAGTCTGCCAGTACAAACGATACCCAAGGTATCGTCCCTAAGAATGACCATGAGTTTCCAATTGCTACTGAAGTCACAGTATTTTGTTGCCCAAACATCAGAGAATCTGATGATTGTAGTTTAGAGTTAGTCAGTTGTCTATTTAAGAAAGTATTTAATCTCCTGAACTATTCTGTCAACCTGTATAATCTCCAAGATCTAACGTCTCCCCGTGAATAGCTCCTTGTTCGCAGCAGCCCTGAGCTCGCAGAATTAATGTTTTCAACGTGTATATTCCACTTTTTCCTGGCAAGCTCAACCTCTGATTGGATTATATGAATAGACATAGGAAATTACCCTGATCAGGAACACCGGAGTTCATAACTAAGTATACTGTACAGTGATCCAAAATGGTAGAGAAGGTCTGGCGTTGGTGAAATCAACCTTGCTGGTATGATTACGGGCGTATGTATATACTGCTACACGAGGGAGAATCACGCATTCGTGACTCTTCCTCAACGTATCCAGGTATGTTAACCAGTGTTCCACGCCGCCAGATTAACTTAGTCAATTTTGTGAATATCAGTGTTCATGTTGTAACAGTGAAATTGTCATTTACCCAGTGAAAGGATTAATATAAAGTAAGTGTCGTCTGGACCGTTACCAGACGTATGTTTTGTATAGTTGAAATTAGACATTTACGCATTCGTGACTCTTCCTCAACGTATCTCCAGGCCAGTGTGTTGAGCTGAATACTCATCGGCTACCGTGGGTCGGTAGCCGGGTTGGACGATGCCATTAATTCAACAGGATTAAATTGGAAAGTCCGTTTCCTGCAAATCAGGCCCCAGCTCCCTCGGCGTGTGTCGGTCTACAACCGACCCCTAACAGCGATCTTCATTTGTTATGGAGACACCATTATACCCCGGGGCACTCCTCACAGTTACATGGGCCTAAGTATTATTGTATCTTGATTGAGGGATTACTAACAGAAATATGGAAATCCCTGGTTAAGTAGTGAACCCATAACTATTAAGAGTACCAGGAAATATGTTATGTGAGTTGAGTACATGAACTGAAGGAAAAGTACCATGTTGTTCATGCTGATAGAACGTGATGTTATAAGTTGATTTGAGATATTGTCAAGTGTCAAATAATCATCTGTAGTGCCTATGGAATAATATAATGATTGTTAAATGTTGTAACCATGAATTGAAGATATAATTTGTTACTTAAAGTAAGACCTGAGGGTCCAGTGTTATCTGACCGTGTATAATAATTACTGAATCTTATTTGTCAGAGGAATAATACAACAATTGTCTAATGAAGGATTAAACTTAATAGTTGTTAAATGAATTAATAAGTACTTGCGGATCTGTTTTATCAATGGTACAGTAAGACCTGAGGGTCCAGTTTGGTCTGAGTGGATTTAAATAACATCTTATTCACTCACTGTGTTAATAAATATTGAATTAGTAGTCTACGAGTGTGAACCAAACATCCTGAACCCCACAAATGGTGACTCCCGGAGATTCGCACTCACACAGAATGGAGGAGAAACAAATGGTGACTCCCGGAGATTCGCACTCACACAGGATGGAGGAGAAACTGATCACGCTCCCAGTCTTCAAGCAACATGGAAGACTGGCTTATCCACACAGAAGCAGCTCTCATCGGCTCTACAACCACTGTCTCTACACCGCAGGTTAGACACCCTAGAGCAGCTCTGCTACTCTGAGCAGACACCAGCTCCTCTTCCTGCCCCAAGCACCACGTTCTACCGACCCCAGCACACCCGTCCTGCCTCAGACCCCGGCCCAGCAGTAACCCCTGCCGCCCCTGACGCGGCCTCTGTTCCTGAGTGTGGACCCACACACCCCTCTTTTCTCCCTCAGGTACTCCCTGCTAATGTCCTGCACCCTGCTGCTGTCGTGGACTCGGCTGCTGTCACGAGCCCTCATCCGCTTCTGCTGACCAGCCCCTGCTCCTGACCCAGGCCCACACACCCCAGCAGGCGCATCTGACGAGTCTGTACCTGCCGTGAGCGAAGCACAACATTCATCGCCTCCACACACCCTTTTTCTCCCTCTCTTCTCCCACAGATAGTGTGTATATAGACAGTTGTATCCAGCGACCGGCTCATCCACGCCATCGCCGTTGTCTCACATGAGGCATGCACCGCCCGTTCTGCCTCACATGTGCTAAGCAACCCTGCAGACAACAAGTCTCCTACACCGCCTGGAGGGAAGGGGGAGTATTGTAGTGGATTTCTCCCCTACAAATGCTGTTTGTCGCTGAGTAGCCGATCCCACCAATTCCCCAGTGTATGCCTCGTGGTCGAGGTCAACCAGCGCCGCCATACATCACGGAGCGGGGGTCAATTACTAAGCCACGCCTACCCCCGCTATTTAAGACCTGACCTCGTGGTGACCTGCCTCTTTCTACCTACACCAACCAGCCAGCAACACCTCCTCCTCCGCCGCTGCCTGGCGGCCCTCGCTCCTCCTCCGCCTGCCTGGCGGTCCTCTCTCCCGCCAGTGAGCATGGCGACCCACAAGCTGTCCTTCTCTGAGCGTCCTCACCAACCAGCTCTCTCTGCATCACGCTTGTAACCATGCTGCCTTCCCAGCACCAAGCTGCATTGTACATCCAATACAACATGTATATAGAGAGCACATTGTGAGTTTCCTTTCTCCATCCATCCTGAGTGTGAACCCCACAATGTTATCATATGTGGTTAAACTTTATTGTGCCAATAAAATAGGACTTTCAGTCAATAGTAAATAAATATTGTCTGAAATTATTATTTTTAAAAAAAAAAATTTAGTTTCAAATGCTTTTCCGAATGACTATGTAAGTAAATGTATCAATTTCTCTTGTTTTCATGAATCAATATATTTCCCAACCCAAACAACCACCTCTTAAATACTAGTCTTATCTCAAAACAAACCATTTTAAAGAAGTTTACCTAGGGAGATCCCATACACGCCTATCAGGCAGCTTGCAGTGATCTGATCCTGAAAGGTGATGCTGCAGAATTTCTGATGTGGCAAACACTACTTGACATCTCACACACCTATGTTCAACCATCTGAAATTGACCAAGTCTAGTTTATTTTCCTCTGTAAAAGAATATTTGCAAAACAGAGACTGTGAGATAGGAAAGCTAATATGCAAGTGATTGTCACAAACAGAGGTACAGGTATCCCTCAATATACAAATGAGTTAGATTTCTGAAATCCCATTTGTTAAGTGAATTTTTGTACAGCAAATAAAAGAACTTAGGAAATTAGGGTTCAGTCTCCCAAAGACAAGAAAACCCCAATATCACATCCCAAAAATCCAGTTCACGAACAACAAATAAACCTACATAAATAATGATAAATATTACACAATTACTGTACCGTTATTCACAACCGAACACATTAAAAATATTAATAAAATACTATTTAGATGAAAATATGGACCTAATACCATATAGTGAAGGTCAAAAACATAAAAGGGAATAAACTTTTTTCATATGCTAAGGGTTAACCCTGAGCAGAGGGGGGGGGGGGTTATAAGAGCCGTGTGTAGTGAAAAGATGGACAAATTTCATTGTCCAGCAGCCAAATGGCTTATACAGTGTACGGCTAACCCTCTGATCTGCCCTTAAACATGGGTCTCACTCTCGTGTGAGCCAACCCACCCAGCATCTCTCACTAGCTCAGCGTGTTTATTACTTATCCGTACGTGTTCAAAAATAATAAAAATAAAATCATCACAATATTCTAATGTGGCTTGGAAATTAAGAAAATATAATATAAAACTATAAAAATAAGAAAAATGAAGAGCATGGGTGTGGAAAGTTTGTGTGGAGGCAGTGAGCTGCAAGTGTAACTACTGTACATCACTCCCTCCCTCACTTTCCTGATGTGAGCCAGCTGGGTGCTTGAACTGTGTCATGTCGCCCAGAGTAGCTCTTCTTTGTACAAAAAAATATGAATATTGTATACTGTACCAGTAAATGTGAGTAATAAATAAAAATAATACTAATAACTAAAATAAAAGAACAAATATTGCATTGCCATTTTGCAATCATTTCACTCCACACGAAACATGGGAGACAGCGCAGAGCCAAGATCCCCACACAACTCCCCACTTCCCCACTCTGCGTGCTAACTCCAGCGGAAGAAGAAATGTTTATCCCCTTCATGTTTTTGATCTTATGAAAATTATCTTTTTTTAATTTTTTTCACATTCTCTATGAAAGATTGTGTGTGCATATAACAGTAAAAAGATATGAAGAAAATTATGTTTATCTACCCGAAATTATGAGTTGAAAAATAAGTGCCAAATCTGGTGACCTCTGCTTTGCAATGGTTCCGTAAACATTTCCCAGCAATTCGCACTGGTAAAGGTTTTCTCAAATGGGGAATTTTACCGCAATCATGGTCCCTAAGACTTTTCCAACTTCCCTCCAAAATTTTCCCAGTGAATTGAAGATCACTTAAACAGAAATTGCAGATCAATAAACAACAAGGGGAGCTTCAAATTTCATATCGCTAAACCGAAATATCTCTAAGTAAATGATCACTAAACGACGGATACCTGTATACAGTACTGTATCTTGTATAGTTCAACTCTTGCTTTTGAGAAATGCCAGGTATAATCCTGTACATAATTTGTAGCAAGACACCAGATTCAGACCAATGTGTCTTGGTCGTGACTCCCACCACAACAGCTGCTGCTATAAACAGTGTTACCAACTATGAAACTGAGTTCCCTCCAGTTACCAACTCCTATGAGGAATAATATTAATTTTTATTATGCGAGGAATAAATACAAATAATACCAATAAATAAAATCCTGTAAAACAAAAAAATTCTGTACAGTAGGGTCTCAAAGTACGCGAGGGTTATGATCCGGGGGGGCCTCGTGTAAGAGTGAATTTCGTGTATACAGTACAGTATTTGGGTGCCACTGTATATATACAGTACTGGTGTATGTAAAACCTATTTTCTATATTAAAATAATACTACCCAAGGTAAACAATTGCATGAACTCCCACAAACCATGTGCCCTGTACAGTACAGAAACAGCATAAATGATCAATAAATGTAAATGTACATAAATATTATAAATAAAAATTTTATAAAAGAAAATTCAAAAGGGCTTTGCATATCTCACTTTCAGGATACACTCTGGTATTTGATGGAGTGCACGGATGACTTGTTCATGTGGAATAATACACAATTTCAGAGTTAGATATATGCTACTCTTTAATAAGTCCAATATCTTAGACTTTTTCTTTAAAAGTTCTCAAAATATACATTTCTTTCTTTTTATCACTCTCACTGCCACTAATTTTTCTCTAAGGAGCCATGATTGCGGTAAAATTCACCAGCTGAGAAAACTTTACCAGCTCACTACCTTCACATACGTTCACCTCCTCCCCCCTCCACACACACACACACTCTTAATTTTTCTTATTTTATATATATATATATATATATATATATATATATATATATATATATATATATATATATATATATATATATATATATATATATATATATATATATATATATATATATATATATATATATATATATATATATATATATATATTACATCTACACCTAGACCCCGACTTACGACGGGGTTAGGGACCCAAATCCAGGTCGTAAGTCCGACATAGATAAAAAATCTACAATGAAATACAGTACAGTAAAAGTAATGAATAATGATGAATGGATACAGTACAGTGAAAGTAATAAATAATAAGGAATGGATACAGTGTGACTGAGCACTTAACCTTTAATGTAGTCAGCTGAATGCACATGGGGCCCCCATAATTTTCTAATTATACATGGAGACTACATTAACTGGAAACGTTTCGGTATAGAAAATGCGTGTCATTTGAAATTTTTTTTTTAAACAAAAATAAAAAAACGGTCGTTCTATTAAGTATACATATATATATATATATATATATATATATATATATATATATATATATATATATATATATATATATATATATATATATATATATAATACACAGTAGAAGTCCAAAAATACGGACTGCTTGGGGATTGGGTCGGTCCGGATTTTCGGATTTTCCGTCCGTATTCTCAGGCAGTACTTTTAAAGTTCAAATTTAAGGAGGAATAAAGAAGAGATGAACAGATACATTTTGATAGTTTATTCATTAGCAAATATAGCATGCTTCATTTATCAAAACGAGCAGTTTTAAAGAAAAAGCTGTGAATTCTAGAATTTTATTCTATGCCTTTTATATATCATAAATTGTAGACTTTCCAATGTTGTATGTTTCCATTAGAACAGTATTGCTGACACCACGTTCTATTTTAATTATTTAAAAATTTGTCACTCAATTTCAACGTGTTCTTCTTTCTCTTCACACAACGAAGTTTACCTACTTTAGGAGCCATTATTATGGGCTCTGTAAATGGAAAGAGTAGGACTCAAAATTACATACATTGTCACAGTTTGATTGCTTGTTTTAATGTGGCGACCGCGTGGTCGCTTGTTGTCGCTGTGCAGCTGTGGCACTCACGCATGCGCACATACACACAAAAGCCAGCTAAAAAAAAAAAAAATTGAGTTTTCGAAAAGTCCGGATTCTCGGGTGGTCCGGATTTCTGGCATCCGCACTCTTGGACTTTTACTGTATGTATGAATATATATATATATATACATATATATATATTTATATATACAGTCATGCGCCGGTTAACGTCCGATCGCATATACGTCCGTGGCCCCCCCAAAAAAAAATAAAATAAAAAATCCGAGACGCCTGCTGGATCGCCACTCCACGACCCCCTGACGGAGACACGATGATCCTCCCCATACTGGTCAGATATTATGTGTTAAAGGAATATGCTTCCTATCTTAGGCTATTTTTAAACAATTGCCTACAGGTGTAATGTTAACCTACATCTATTGAGGATAAAATCTTTCTCCTACAAATTGACAATAACACATTTGATGTAATCAGACATATCTAGCTGCCTCAACAATTGCAACCAAGGTGAGGCGGTATATTTGACTTGGCACCGGCCCAAGGTCTAATGCGTGTTTATTTATCAATTCTTAAGTGACTTAAGCTTCTCTCTTATAAAAAAACAGTGAAATGACCTAGGTGAATATAATTTACATTGTTGGGATTCTTTTAAGATGTTGATTAATTTAAATATAAAAAACCTATAATTCACACTAGACATAACAATTTTAGTACCGTAATCAAATTAGTACATGTGCACTCCAGCTTTGCACTAAAGTCATTTATTTCTTTCACGTTTCTTTTGGTATGGTGTGTGCCTGTAAATGGATGAAAATAAAAGAAGAAATTTATGTAAATCTACCCAAAAATACAGTTGAAAAACTTTATATTATAAAATGTACTATAGTATAGTACACTAATGTACTACAATTTTTATCTCTTGAACAAAATATATGACGTTTATATTTAAATTAATCTTTGTCTTGCAAGGATTTCAGCAATGCAAATTATATTATCCTAACTTTAGTCTGAGATATTATATAAAATAAACACCTTAAAGCACAAAGAAATCACCAATCTTTTGCCTGGGAACACAAGGAGGGAGGTAGCCAGTGAGCGTGTAAAGAGGGGGGGAGCAGGGGGGAAGTGGGAGGTGAGGTGACAGTGTGTCTGGCGTTTGTTTGTTTATTTATTTGAGATAAGATTTGACAGTTGGCGCTGAAGGCCTGTGTGTTTATTTATCATTACTTAAGAGTGACTAAGCTCTTCTCATAATTTGCCACCAAAACGACCTGGGTGAATATAACTTGCATTGCTGGGATTCTTGTAAGATAGTGATTTATTTGAATACCTGTATAAACAATCTATATTTGCAATAGACATAACAATTTTAGTACCGTAATCATTTAGTACATGTACAGTACAGGTTTGCACTTAGGTCCAATGTTAACCGAGGGACCACTGTATTGCAGTGTACTTGTACTGTACAATATTGACTAAATTCACTTGATAACGTACACAACTAACGGTTGGTAAAACTTGTCAAGTGAGTGAGTGTCAAGTCTGTCAGTATGAGTGGCACGTGTGAGTGCTTGTGTCCCCCATCATAGGAGTACATTTTCTCTCACATCAGGACGCCTGAGTCCTCCGTTTTCTCTTTTAATCTTAGAGTGCATCAGAGACTTCGTTATTCCTTAGTAATCACACAGAATTTGAAATTGCAACCCCAATTGCAACTGGGGTTGCAATTGTTGAGGCAACTAGATATGTCTGATTACATCAAATGTGTTATTGTCAATTTGTAGGTGAAAGATTTTATCCTCAATAGATGTAGGTTAACATTACACCTGGAGGCAAATGCTTACTAAAGCCTAAGGAAGGATATTCCTTTAACGCATAATATTTGACCAGTATGGGAAGGATCATCGTGTCAGGGGGTCGTGGAGTGGTGGTCCAGCAGGAAGTGGTTTTTTTTTTGGGGGACGCCACGGACGTATATGCAATCGGACGTTGTTTGGTTGGACGTTAACCTGCGCATGACTATATTTTTTATTTTTTTCCTAAGCCACATTAGAATATTTTAATGTTAACTCTTTTGCTTTGTAATAAAAATAATGGTTTTACTAGGGTGGACTATAATATGATTAGGAATTAAGTTACGTGTTTATTTACATACTCAGACTTGAATTATACGTAAAAAAAAAACTATTATTTTTGCAAAAATTTATTCTTTATTTTGTATGAGTGACCAAATTACAGTACAGTAGTATACATAAGTGCCGAACTGTTTACGGGCTATGTAGCCATTCCCCTCCATCACCTACCATTCCCCTGCATCACCTACCATACCTCTGTGTCATCTACCATGCATCTTGCCTACTACAATGTTTCATTCTTCACCTACAGTGATGCGAAGCGTTACTTTTTTTAAATTAGTAATTAATGTACATGTATACTTATATGGGTAGATAATGTTTTATTGTTGTATTTTTGTAAGGGGGGCTTGATAAGTCGGAATTTGGGATAATTCGGCAAGGCCAGACCACCATACGTGCCGAGTTATCAAGGTTTTACTGTATATATTTTATTTACAAAAAATAGCTCCTTCCACACTCAAACCATCCACTGGACAACACGACCTACTTCAACCAAGCAGTCAACCAGCTGACTCCCAATCGTGTGGCTGCCGCTCTGTACTGTGAGCATGCCATGATATCACATCGGGAGGGAGCGCAGTCACATAGTTGTTGCCCACCGCCTCCACACACATACACACCCATGTACAGTACTTCATTTTTCCTATTTTATTCCTGTACTATAGTTTCATATTTTCTTTATATCTAAGCCACATCTGAGTCCAAGTGAATTGTATTGTCATGATTTTTCCACAACTTTCATAGTTTCATTGCATGTAATAATGGCAACTTGCCATCTCCAGATATTATTTTTCTCATTTGATTTGTGAGTATTTTGGAGTATGCTTTGTGAATAATGAATATGGGTGTAAAATAACAATTGCGAATAAGGAAGGTTGCGAACAGTGAAATGTTCCTGTATATGAGATTGGTTTATAATAGGTGGCCCCGAAGGACTCTTATAATTTCAACCTGGACTTCAGACTTCAAAAGTTTCCCCACCTTTGGTTTAAGGGTTAAGTAACAAAAATAATAAAAATCTTGAAAGAAGTGCAGTAGTACTATGAATACATTTTGACTTTCTAGAAGCTCTGTTACTATCGAGACAACTACTGTACTAGTATGGCAAGAGCTAAGGTGATTCAGAATTATTATAAAAAAATAAATCAAATTTAAAGAAAAACAATGTCAACAACACATCAAAACATTACTTACACATAACCTTATGAAGTTGACAATCTTGACTTGCTGATAAAAGCTGAATTTTTTGGTGATGTATTCGAAGTCAAACTTGTGGTGAACCCTCATATGATGAAAGAGTCCATTAGGTACCTAATTAAAGAAGTGGCTTTAAGTTCCCAGAATGGACTGGCCTCATCAGTGTTATGATAGTAGAATAGTTAAGAGTTACTAAAAGCTTTAAGCAATGATAAGTCAAATGAAGAATTAAGCACAAGAAAATGTATTATAAATTCAACTAAAATTACTGTGGTTGTAACTGAGAAAGGTGAGGCAATGTATGGAATACTGGACTGAGAGAAGAAGACATTACAAAAATCTAGGTACTGTTATCTTGATAGTGCTTTTATAAAGATAAACTGAGAGAAAAGACATAAGAATCGTTCCCAAAAAGTGAACTGGAAAATTTTAATAAAAGAACAGGAAAAACATGATTAAGACATGTTCCAAAAGATTAGGTCGCTATGATTTTCTTGAAGTAGAACATTACCCAAACTTTATATAAACAACCAAACTCCACCCAAACCATCCAAATCTGAGACATTCACCTTATGTTCTAATCAGTCTTTCAAAAGATGAACAACACTCCTTCCTTAAAGGGAGTGTCCAGCTGAAAATATTCAGAAAATCAGAAAATTACGAAAATATTCAGAAAAATTCCTGAGGAAAGCTGCTGCCTATGGCTATCTGCTGATGCATTTTGATTGTGTAATTCATAATACTGTAGCTAAACATGATTGTTCTACCCCCCCCCTTTCATTTAGAGCACCCTTCTGTTTATGTAGCAAAACCTGTAGAAAAGTATATTTTGGTGTAAAGTAATACCAATCACTTGGTAAAAATCAGTATCTGGCAACTTTCTCAGCTAGCTAACAACAGGACCAGAGTCTTGTAGGCACAGTTACCTACGAAAGAAGCCAGAGTAAGGTTCGACCGTCTGTTGCTCTCGCGCCACCCGATCGGCACGTATCTCAGAATGAGTTTTTCTAACCTTCAAATCCCTAAGGCTTGGTCATTTATGGGCCGATTCTAATAAAACAAAAACTAAGTAGTAGAATAACATATTGTGCATGGTTGAACATATAGATTTTCTTTATATTTGGCTTGGTTTATTATTTGCCGAATTATCTTTATAAATATTTGGAGGAAAAGCAAAAGCTATAATCAGAAATATCTATATACAGGTTGTACCTCTCTAGTCCGGCAACCTCGGGACCTGACCGGTGCCGGACCATGGAAATTCACCCTTTTCCTGGACAGATAGTGACTTGCGCTTACGTTTGCACCACTTTCACTGCTTTATGGTCTCTTTGAAGACATATTGAAGGGTTAAATGTCGTACAGTAGCTTCTCAAATTTCGCGAGTTTTTAATTCAACATTTTTTATTTGGACACTCAAAAAAAAACACTAAATAATTTAAAATTTTGACGGCGGAAACTCGAATTTCGACGGGCTTGAACGGCCCGCCAACGTACAGACGACGTGCACAATCGTGTAAACAGCGTCATTTCTCTTATGTACAAAAGATTCATTATTGTTTATTACTGAATGTCTCTTTTATTGAATTAATGTTTTTGTGTGCAAAATGAGGAATACAATTCATTAATAATAAGTAGAATATTAAAACACACGAGGAAATGAGACAGCATTGTTTTCGTTGATTACAAAACCAGTGACTGATTGGTTCTACATATAAAACAAGAAAATAAGACCCTGGTTGTAGCTGTAGTAAAATTAATGTAAAAATTAATATGGTTGTTTGAAGTAATGTTATTTAATGTTAATAAATGGAACAATATAAGTAGCTAACCATTAATGTTAAAGAAAAAAGTGAGATCGTGTATGTAAGTGCGCACATGTGAAAACATATCGTCATTACTCTACATAAGAATATGAAAGCAACACTTATTTACTGTTCATATATATTGAAGGGTTAAATGTTGTACTCTGTATAGACAAACAGAGAGAGAGAGAGCCGAACTGCTGGATGTAAACAAACCTTAATTTCCCGCGGCTTTGTTGTGGTTTTTTTTTACAGGGATTAGCCCACCTGGGCACAGGTCACTGACCCACATTGGAGCCTGAGGGTGCGAAAATGTAATACTCCTGTAATAATAATAATAATTCAGACAGATAAGTAAAAAAAAAAAGCTGGTTATCTACCAATTGGGCAAACTAAAATCGTTCTGGACCACGGGAGTTTCCGGACCATAGAATGCCGGACTAGAGAGGTACAACCTGTATTACCTTTAAGAAGAGTAAATTACCTATACTCCACGTGAATTTCAACATAATATAGCAAGAAGTTTTGGAGAAGCAGGATTTTGAAAATTGATATAAAAGGGAAAAATCAGGTACAGTGGTCCCTCGATTAACGAACACAATTGGTTCCACAGAGTCGGGTATTTACCGAAAATTTTGTTAACTGAATCTATTGTTTCAATGGGATATTGGGTAATTGGTTCCAACTCACAGAAAAAGTATATACATACAAAGTTCTGTATACCGGTAAAAGAATTAACAAAACATTAAATATAAACTAAATACAGGTACAGTAGTGTACTGTACTGTACAATAACAAATAAAAAAAATAGAATACTGTATTTTAACTTACTTTGAGGTGTGAATGTCGTATTCCCGGCAGCTTTGTTTACATATGAAACCGCTGATTGTAGAGGCAGTGGATGATGACGTCATATTCTTTACAGAGTGCATTGGTTCTAATGCCTTCTTCATGTTTCATAACAATTTCTGCACTGTATATTTTCATTATGTTAACTAAATTTCAGAATAACCAATAATTTTAATGTAAAAATGCAAAAATATTCAAGAGACCAACAAAATCGATGTTCACTCCACTGTAAACAAAGTTAAACTGAGAAGTGTTGTTGGGTGATTCAATCAGCTGATGGGCGCACAAAAACTGTTCCCTGTACTTTACTGTATAGATTATCAATACATAAACTAAATTTCAGAATGACCAATAATTTTAATATAAAAAATGCAAAACTATTCAAGAGCACAACTTTCTTGATATTTACTCCACTGGAAACGAATGTAAACATAGAAACAATAACTGTATTGGCGGACCAGCCAATCAGCTGATGCACACAACAAAGCGTGTTTCTCGTAAGGTTGTCGTTAATCAAAGTATTGTTCGGAAATTCCTTATGGGAGCAAATTCGTGAACCTAAATTTTATTAATTGAAAATATTTGTTAATCGGGGGACCACTGTATTAGGGATTAAGCAGAACCGATTCAGAGGTATAGCAACAATGTACCTGGTGTCCTTAAATGTCGACAGGAAATATAGATTGATCAATTATTTACGAATTTCTTGCTTCAGCCGGATGCTCCCCTTAAGGTTATTTACATATACAGGTACAGTATATGCAAAAAAAAAAAAAATCTTCTTTACTGCTTTAACAGACTGGAACAAATCACCAGACCATATCAAAACCAGTTATGATATTAAACAATTCAAAGCTAAAACAAAGAAATACATAACAGATGAAGCTATAGCAAGTGAAGAAAGCGAGTTTCTATAATATTAACCACAGAATGGTGTACACCGGTAGGGACCCCCCCCAGCCTCAAATAGTCCAAGTGCAATGTAATGTTTGTTTAATTTTACCAAAAAACCTTCAATAATACTCATGCAGACTTACTACCACTGATTAGAGACCTAGCATAAGCAAAGGTCCTTCCTGGAAATAAGCACCTGACAGCGTTGTTGGCTATCCTTGGTCAAGTTGCCTTATTGTTTACCATTGTTGTTTACCTGCACTGTCTTGGCATACATGAAACTGTACTTACCCGGCCTACTTGCACTTTATACCTACTTTGTCTTTAATTATGCACAACAGTAAAACTGCATAGTTTATAAACATGCTTATCCAATGGTAAACCTGTATAACAATTTTACTGAATAAATAAGAGCTATTATTAAAATAATTACTATTTATGTAAGAGCGAGCTACTCCAGTTAAATGTGGTTTATGTTTGGTGGGGTTAGGTTATTTGTTTAAATTTTGGGCTGCATCAGTGACCAAAATCAAACACCTTAACTAACTGATTCTTTTCTCAGTATGCATTACTCTAACTCCACATATCTCTTTTTCAAAGCCCTGCCACCTTATGTCACATTAGTAAAGCCACAAGCTAATAAGAAAAACACAGATTATTCTCTTTCCATTGAATGACTTTAAAACGTGATTACTGTATAAACTCCTCGGTGATAAATAAGTTACCGTACATAGATTGAGGTGGTGAATCATATGGCTCAATAACCGAAAGGGTCCAAGGTGATGAATCATATGGCTCAATAAATGAAGAGGCGTTTCACTAACTAAATGTTCCAAGCTAAGCAATGTTAACAAAGAGTACCAAGTAGAATTATAATTTACATATACAGTATTTACAATATAAAAGGCAATACATATACTGTATATTGTGATATATATATTTTGTCATGTTTAACAAATACAGTGGTCCCTCGGTTAATGCACACAATTCGTTCCACAGAATCGTTCGTTAACCGAAAATTTCGTTAACCGAATCCATTGTTTCAATGGGATATTGGGTAATTGGTTCCAGCTCACCGAAAAGTACATACAAAGTACAAAAAAAAAAAAATGCAGTAAAATACACTTACTTTGAGGTGTGTATGTAGAAGGTTCCTGGTTGATGATGATGATGGAAATTAGAAGTGGGGGTGGAGGAGAAGAGAAGGAAGTGGGGATGGAGGAGAAATCACCTTTCAGGGGACCCATGCTTGATGCCGCCATTTTACCAATAAAATTTTAAGTTCACTAGGTGTAATTCAAGGTTATTTTATTTAAATCAACACTGCACTGCATGATATATTATCAATATGTTAACTAAAGTTCAGAATGACCAATAATTTCAATGAAAAATGCAAAAATATTCAAGACACCAACAAAATAGATGCTCTCTCCACTGTTTTCAAAGCCCAACTGATACCTTGTGACCGACTCATGCATCTGATGGGCGCACAACAAACTAGTTCCCTGTACTGCATATATTATCAATATGTTAAATAAATGTTAAAACGACTAATAATTTTAATACAGGTTGTACCTCTCTAGTCCGGCATTCTGTGGTCCGGAAACTCCCGTGGTCAGGAACGATTTTAGTTTGCCCATGGAGAAAATTAATTTGAGTCTGGTACTGTACTTTCGATTTTTGTCTAAATTTGGCCTTATTTACCCTACTTTTTTGGCGAATTACTACCTGTAATAAAGCAACATACTAATAAGCCAACGAAAATAACACAATAAAGTTAAATAAAAGCTAAAAACAACATAGAAAAGTTCTTATGTTCTACAGCTTTAGCTAGAGTTGAACCTGATGGCTTGGCAACTTCGTCATCCGAGTAAAAACACACACAACAACATTGGCTGTCTTTATGTTTTCAACTTTACCACCACTGGTGGGTAGAATTTTTTTTTTAAATTCAGAAACATTAATTAAAATATATATGAACAGTAAATAAGTGTTGCTTTTATATTCTTATGTAGAGTAATGACGATATGTTTACACATGTGCTCACTTACATACGTGATCTCACTTTTTTTTTTACCATTTATGGTTAGCTACTTCCAATGTTCCATTTATTGACATTAAATAACATTACTTAAAACAACCATATTAAGTTTAGTACAGCTACAACCAGGGTCTTATTTTCTTCAGTTTTATATGTAGAACCAGTCAGTCACTGGTTTTGTAAACGACGAAAACAATGCTGTCTCGTCTCCTCGTGTGTTTTAATATTCTACGTATTATCAATGAATTGTATTGTGCATTTTGCACACATAAACATTAATTCAATCAAAAAGACATTCAGTAATAAACAATAATGAATGTTTTGTACATCGAGAAATGACGCTGTTTACACAATTGTGCATGTCTGAACGTTGGAGGGCCGCTCAAACCCGTCGAAATTCGAGTTTTCGCCGTCAAAATTTTAAATTGTGCAGTGCTTTTTTGTGTCCAAATAAAACACGTTGAATTAAAAACTCACGAAATTTGAGAACCAACTGTACAACATTTAACCCTTCAATATGTCTTCAAAGAGACCACGAAGCAGTGAAAGTGGTGCTAGTGCTTCCAAGTGTATGCACAAGTCACTATCTATCCAGGAAAAGGGTGAATTTCCATGGTCCGGCACCGGTCAGGTCCTGAGGTTGCCGGACTAAAGAGGTACAACCTGTATAAAACAAGCAAAAAATATTAAAGAGCACAACTTTATTGATATTTACACCACTGGAAACGAATGTAAACATAGAACAGATTTCTGAATTGGCAGAGTAGCCCATCAGCTGATCAACTTATGCTCACAAAAAAACGTGATTTTCGTAAGGATTTCATTAATTGAATTTTTGTTCGTTAACCAAATTGAAGATTCTTATGGAAGGTAATTCGTTAACCGAAATTTCGTTAACAGAACCGTTCGTTAACCGAGGGACCACTGTACACCTGAAAGGCTAGTAAACTTAAAAATATATAAACTAGTATTAAAGAATTTAAATATACACCAAGACAGCCTAAACGGAAAAGATAAACCTTGTTGACTCATTCAAACTACTGTATATAAATACTGATATCTGGCAACAGCTTAACATGTCCTACACAAGAACAAACAACCCTAACCTTAGTTGTTGTGAAATGGCAAAAAAGACAGGTAGTTGGAAGTGTATCATCCTCCCGCCAGTCTGTCCAAAGCAATTCATCATGGTGGCTTCTCTCTCCTCTATCACCACTGAAACTCTCTGTGTCACTTTCTACATCAAGGTCACGCTTGGCCTCTTCCCATGGAGTACCCGGCTGCATTTTTTAAAACATAATACAGTACATTAAATGACATTCATATTGGAACACTTTAACAGTAAATTGTTACTATCTTGAGAAGCTGGATATCTAATGAAACAGATTCATCCATATAGATGTATCATGACTCCATTTCTAATAGCTTTACATGCACAGAAGAAAGTCTCACTACTTTTTGCCACAATAGTGCTTACAATCTAGTTAACTTTCTAAAAGCATCCAGAACTCTCATGTTAGACTGAAGATTCACCAACAATTTTCTAACAGCTTGTCAAAAATAAACAAAAATGGTATGTCTTCTTCATTATGAACTTACCATACATACACCCACAAAATCCTTTCACTGAAATTTTGTTTCATTCACAATGAAGCCTTGTGATACTAGTACAGGACTACTTTTATCTCTTTAACAACACATACAAAAGCCTTAATACCTGTATCATAAAGCCTCTATATAACCGACAGAACAATTAATTGAATTAATAAAGAAATGGGGTTTCTCCCTCTATACGAGACTACTACTATACATACAGTACAGTACCTACAATGTGGTCACCTTATCTTTCTTACATGTCTTAAATGTGTAATAAAAACGGTCATCCTTTCCAATGATTGAAACCCTTACATCAGTTTCTCAATATATTCTAGTTAAACACACAGGGTGTTTTGGGAATACATTTCATAATTCTTGGGGTGTATTCCCGAGACATACACAAGGATAAATGACTTCACGACCATAGTGTCAATACCCAATAGTTTTGTTGTTATAACACACCATTTGGGGTTGGAATGTGATAAAACCTAAAGAGTACTCACCCGCAAGTAGTTTCGGAGATAAAACTTGTCATAAATCTTATTTTTTGGGTTTAAGTGACGGTGCTGAAGTTTACGCATGTGTTCGCGCAATACTTTATGCGTTTTAAATGTTTTTTCACAGTATAAACACAGCAACCTGAAAAAATAATTATAATGTATTGAAATGAAGCAAATAAACACAAAATCAAAATACAGTACTGTAGTGTAATACTGTACCACAAATAGGAGGGCCTGTCAAATGAAATATAAAAACAATCTATACAGTATACCTTACTTGAGAAAAGTGATAGAGGGGAATGAATGGTGGTTCATTTATTCATATGGATAACCAGATTAGCCCACATTGTCAGGTATATCACAATTTCATGCCAATACCTACAGTGCCATCCACTTCACCACCTCTTTTACCACCCAACACATTAGAGATCTAAGCTACTATGAGTTTTTAAACATATGCATATGCATCTACAGGAAAGTAAATATTAATTCAATATATACCTGAGTATTTAATACACATATCAACCACACCCAGCTTGTAAATACTTTGAACATACAGTAGTGGTGGCCAAGGCAGCCATAGTAGGTGACATTCTGTGTCAACCTCTTTACAACAGTATTTAAGTCAATTAACTGGGGTAAAATAGGATCCTTGACCAACACATAGGCCTTTTTGTTACCTAAAATTTTTTCTCTTCCCATTTTCACTAAATATATTTACAGAAATATCTTTTCTAAAACCTTCTTGCTCCTCACTTACAATACACTATAAATTAATTCATCTCTCAATTATGATTCGACCATCAGATATTTCTAGATTACTTAACAAGCTTTATTCACTTTGTAGATTTTTCATTGATCCTTATTACTTTAACACTAACATGCAGATAAGCATACCTGTTAATAGTTATATCTAAATCCAGCACTTACTTATGTAACTTTTCTTCTAGAAGATCTAAAAGCTTGGCACCATAAATTATGTTGTCTGGGTTACCCACAGAGAATCCATGCTGAAAGGTGAGGTGGTGGAAACAGTTGGTAACACCTCCTGTTACAGTTTCACTGCAGTAAATGCACTTACGGGAGAAGCTTATATCACTGCGCTCTTTTTCTTTCTGCTCAACTATGTACTTCTGGAATTGTAAGAAACATTTAAGGATAATGAAGTTGCCAAAGACAGCTCATGTTTATCAAGCGGTTGAACTCTTTATTACAGAGCTGTTTGCACACTTAATACCAAAGACTTTGGAATCAAAACAGTCTGCTTTCAACATTCTAGTCCTCATATATATCTGCATATCACAATGTCTGAAACCCCAGCAATTTTATTCCGAAAATGTGTACGATACTTCTAAATTAGCTTAGTTCTCACAAATAAAGCAAGAGTGTTGTTCTCCTGGTTTAATTTAATAACAATACTGTACATTATAACATAACAAAAGACAATACAAGTGTCAAAATGGATATTATTCATATTTCTCCAGTAAAAATTTCATGGTCAGTTACTTCATAAGTTTCTTAAAATTACTTGTTAACCTACTGTACCTTAAAGATATTTCAATACTCTATTACTATGCAGTTGTAAAAAGTACGGGACATTGTTACTTAAGTAAAAAGTATTGTTACATTGGCAAAATGTTACTCAAGTAGAAATAAACGGTATCTCATTCATAAAGTACTCCACTACTGAAAGTAAAAAATACAAAAAATTATTGTCTCATATGAAAATAAATCCACAATAAATTAAAAAAAAATAGTTCACCAAGATTAAAATAATAGATACATAGCACTGCACAGGTGTTTTGCAAATCTTTTTATCGAGATTTATAAATAACCAATTCTCAAAATTACGGCTGTGCAATCATGATCTTTTAGGCCTTAATATAAGGGCAGAATGACCTACCAGAAAAGAATACGTTCAGCCGTCTTCTCCCTTTAATGCATCGCAGGGATAGTGAATGGGCTAAAAATATATCCATCCAACACCAAGATCACTTTCTTCCTTATCCACACAAGTGTCGTTGACTTAGACTTATGGTCCGCAGACAAAATGTTGTCGCTGCTCGCATTATGTTAGAATACAGACATACCTGGCAAGTATCTGAAGCAAACACCCTTCAACACTATTGCCTTGACTGTCCCAGTGCCAGGGACCTCCCACCACAGGGAGAGTCACTATCCACTGTATGTCACCACCTACTTATTTATAATACAGTGGTCCCTCGGTTAACGAACACAATTCGTTCCACAGAGTCGTTCGTTAACTGAAAATTTTGTTAACCAAATCCATTGTTTCAAAGGGATACAGTATTGGGTATTTTATTTTTTTTACGAGGATTAGCCCACCCGGGCACAGGTCACTGACCCACATTCAGGCCTGGGGGGCAAAAATGTAGTAATAATAATAATAATAATAATCTAATAAAAATCATAATAATACAGTAATAATAATAACAATAAAAAATACAAAATTGAAAATAAAAGAAAATAAAAATTATAATAATACAGTAATAATAACAAAGAACCATAAAGAAATACAAAAATGAAAAAATCAAAAGTGAGAAACATTATAATTTATGTATGTTGTGTTGTCAATAGTAGGAGAAACAATTGAGACCAAGCAATTGTGTGTAATTGAAGCAGAAAGTCAGATCAGCAACCAGGGACTAGGTCAAAATTTTCGTGTTGCCATCTGGCAGCAGGGTCTACCATTAGACAATACATTATGCTTCCAATATCTTCCCAGGTGGTAGTACCTCCTCACAGAAAAGCCATACAAAGTAAAAAGAAACTGCAGTAAAGTACACTTACTTTGAGGTGTGTATGCAGAAGGTTCCTGGATGATGATTGGAATTAGAAGTGGGGGTGGAGGAGAAGGGAGAAGAGAATGAAGTGAGGATGGAGGAGAAATCACCTTTCAGGGGACCCATGCTTGATGCCATCATTTCACCAATAAAATTTTAAGTTCACTAGGTGTAATTCAAGATTATTTTATTTAAATCAACACTGCACTGCACTATATATTATCAATATGTTAACTAAATTTCAGAATGACCAATAATTTCAATGTAAAAATGCAAAAATATTCAAGACACCAACAAAATAGATGTTCACTCCACTGTCAACATAGCCAAACTGACGCCTGGTGGCTGAGCCCAGCGGCTGATGGGAGCACAAAAAACTAGTTCCTTGTACTGCATATATTATCAATATGTTAACTAAATTTTAAAATTACTAATAATTTTATTATAAAAAATGCAAAAATATTAAAAAGCACAACTCTCTTGATATTTACTCCACAGGAAATGAATGTACCTAAGCATAGAACAGATTACTGAATTGGCAGACTAGCTGATCAGCTGATGCTCACAACAAAACGTGTTGTTCGTATGAATTTCGTTAATTGAAGTTTTGTTTGTTAACCAAATTGAAGATCCTTATGGGAGGTAATTCGTTAACCGAAATTTTGTTAATCGAACCGTTCGTTAACTGAAGGACCACTGTACTGTAGTTCCATTCCAACTCTTGGACATGCCAAGTAGCTGTCAAGCTCCTCCAGTTGAGAAGTTTGTGGGTGAATGTTGCTTCCATCGTGACCGAGTCTGACTGACTAAGACTCACCGTGAACTGTCCCTCTAATTAAAGTATGGCTGTGGTGACTTCACTTTTTTATTCTAATTGACGAGTGGCTGAATTTTTCGCATCACATAACATTTGGTGGGCGTTGGGGTGACAGTGGTACTTCATTATTTGAACAGAATTTTAAATACACTCTGTCTCACACACATATGTATAGATGCAGGCTTTATAATTATCTAAGATGGAATTATGTAAAGCATTTTAGAATCACAGCCTCTTTGAAATTAATTTTAGGTACAGGTATACACAAAGCGCAACTGATGTGTAATGGAAAGACCAAACCCTGAAGGAAAGGTGGGGGAAAAGAGGGGAATCGATGGGGTAGGGGGAATAAAAGGGTAGGCTAGGTTGTTGTTGTTGTTGTTTTTTTTTAAGAATAGCCACCAGGCGCAGGTCATTGACCTAGCGGGGCCTGGGGGGGCCCAAAAAAATATGAGAGAAATTAAAAATAGAAGAGAAAAAGACTACAGTATACTGTACTGTATTAATCTACACCACAAAGATGACAGAAAGCCAGTTTTTTGAAGCGAGACAGATTGTACAAGTATGGAAACTCGGAAGAAGGCAGAGCATTCCTCAATTTGGGTGTTTGAGGAAAGAAGGGTGTACTATAATGGGTTATTCTAGTGTGACCAGCATCCACACAGAAACGATGGGCATCGCAGGCAAGACGAGTGTTACGAGCCCACGGCCTTGTCAGCGGTAAACAGGATGCTAAATCCACCGAACACTGCCCATTAAGTGCCTATAAAAGAGAGTTTATCAACATTGCGGCGAAGAAAAAGGGAAGAGAGATTATCGACTAAAGGAGGAGTCAGGACGAAATGCCTTTGATTCCACCCTATCTAACAGTTGGACAAAAGAAGAGCCACCCCAAATATGAGAGCAGTACTCTCAAGTTAGGACGAATGAATCCTTTATAAACATGAAGCAACTGCTTAGGAGTGAAGTAGATATGGCATCTGTACAGCATTCCAAGCTTTTGGGAGGCAGCTTTAGTAATGTGGAAATGGCGAGGCCTAGCATATCTATTTTAGAATTTGGCAGAATGATTGCATCCTGAAATGTGATTGGTGGAAGATCTCTATTTTAGAAAGTGTAATTGGTAAATACTGTGTTATATTACTATACAATTTAACCAAATTTCTACCTCCCCATTCGGAGATGCTGCACAGATCTGTATTGATAGACAAAATGATATCAGCTCTAGAAAAAGATCTAGTTTGAGAATTAGGGGGAAGGGAAAAATGTGAAAAGTGAGAAGTAGAATCATTAGCATAAGAATGGATAGAATTAGGAGTACACTAGGGTCAGGATATATCGCGAGATAGGGTCCAATGATGTTCGCTATATACTAAATCACGATATATTACATGTAATCAATGGGGAAAATAGGGTTAGGTTCTAGAGGCCAATAAAAGTGACTAAACTTGACTTAACAAGTTCATTTTTTTACTAACTAAAGCACCAAAACACTAGACTCAGGAACAACAGGCTATTTCAATATCAATATCAAGGAACACCAGACTCGGCAGCAGACGCCACACTGTCACCCTCACTAGACAATCCTACACCTACATAAACGAACACCAAAAATATTAGTTCCAGTATTAAATCTTTCCCATTAGGCTTTCCATTCTCTTCACTTCACTTTTCACATCACTAGCAATCCATTTACACTTGCTTTAGAAATTGGAATCTGCACCCGACTCGGCAGCTTATGCGCCATCCCGAGAACAACAGACGACACACTGACACCCTCACTAACAATCATAAACGAACAAACCAAAAATATTAGTTACAGTATTAAAACTTTTCCAGTAAGCTTTCCATTATCCTCACCTCACTTTTCACGTCACTAGCAACCCATTTACACTCACCTTAGAAGTCGTAATCTGCAGCAGTCGGCTGCTTTCTCGTCACTTATTCAGAAAGATGGCGCCTCTGGTGAGCAAATAACGCATTTGTTTGCCGTGGCGGTACATTCAAAATATTTCCAGCCCAATTTCCCTCGCGAAATAAAAAAAATTATCGCTAAACAGTCGGCCCTTAACATACGCGGGTTTAGCATACACGGATTGCCCCGCCGGAGGAATATTCTGTACATTGAAGTAATTGAAGTACATTCAAATCGCGCGCCATTCAATTCGCGCGCGGCACCGAACATGGGACACCGCCTGCTCCCACAACCTCACACACACACGCATAGCTCTCCCTCACTCAGTCAGTCTCGCTGTAACCACGCTTGTGTTGACATCAGCATTGTAGTTGCAAAAATATTACATTTCCGTGAATGTATTATATCAAGCACAGTATGAATAGAATATCACTAATATAACAGTATTTTAACCGAAAACTATTCAAAAAACGAGTAACATATCTTGAACATCGGAAGGTTAGGTAAAGTCTTTTGTTTTCATGTAGTTTATCCTAATTTACATTGAAATACATTACGTTTCAGCAAAACTACTATTTATTTCTGAGAATATGGAAATGTAATATTTTTGCTGAAATGACGTACTTATTACAGTGGAAAGTGGGATAAAATTGTGACGAAAGCAATGACTTTCGTTTTCTTTCGTTCAAAAGATGTTACCGTAATCGCTTTTCGAATGGTTTTCAGTTGTGGGATTATGAGGTTAATGATAGGATAGAATATTATTGTAATACAGTACGGTACAACAGTTTTTAACTGAAAACCATTCGAAAAGCGATTACGGTAAAATCTTTTGAACAAGGAAAGAAAGCGAAGGTCATTGTTTTCGTCATGATATTATCCCAGTTCCACTGTAATATGTACGTCATTTTAGCCAAAATATTACATTTCCATATTTATTTCTGAGAATATATTCATTCAGTCACAGTTAAGGTAAAATATACTTGTGATGTAATATTTTAATGAAAATACGGTATCGTAGTTTTCTTTTGTTTCAAATTTAACAAAGATTGATGTTTCAAATTTAATGAACAAAAATTTATGTACAGTATCTATAAATAAACTTTAAAAAATGAATACTTTGTTTTACATTGTCCTGTGCTACCATACCATGCATTTGGCTACTTTGGGCTTGCTATGATGACGCAAGAGATCTGCCCTGGCAACTGTACCGACACTCACAGCTGGTGGTGCGTTGGTGCGTCGTTTCCATTGTTTATTGGTAGTTACTGGTAAATATTTTTCAACCTAACGAAACTATTACCCGTTTAGAGGCCGACCCCCAATTTTTTGCCAAATAATTTGGTCTTAAAAAGTCGAACTACACACAGGTATATTCGTTAAATAAGCACATGGGGGGCCAGGGGTTTTTTAGGTGGGGGGCAGCAATAGAACACGGATTTTTAACATTCACGGGTATCTCTGTTACCTAACACCCGCATATGTTAAGGGCCAACTGTATATAGGAAAATTTTGATAATTTTGGTAGCCGCGATATAAAAAAAAGTCGTTATATAAGGTCGCAATATAACCTGACACTAATGTAGTGTGAAGTAAAGAAGGAAGAGAGAAGGTGAAAGAACAGAGCCCTGTGGAACACCGCTATTGGTAGAGAAAGAGCGAGATATCAATCCCTCGACAACAACTGCCTTGAATTGGTTCTCAAGAAAGCTAGAAATTAGAGAAAGTGGGGGAGAGAAACCATACGAGGGAAGTTTATAAAGCAAAGACTTGTGCCATACCCTGTCAGACGCTTTGGAAATGTCAAGGGCCACGACGAAAGTTTCCCTATGATCCCCAAGAAAGGATGACCAAAAATGGGTGCAGTACAAGAGCAGATCACCAGTAGATCTTGCATGGTGAAAGCCTTACTGGTGATCCGACAAAAGAGAATGTCGTTCAAGGTGACGGAGAAAATGAGTTTAATATAGTTTAAAAAATCTTAGAGATGGATGAAGTTAAGGGAATGGGGCGATAGTTAGAGGGATTAGAATAGTCACCCTTTTTCGGAATGGGCTGAACTTAGGCATGCTTCCAAGAAGAAGGAAAAGTTTGGGTTTTACGGCAAGAGAAGCGAGCAAGCACAGGGGCCAGAATTTCAGCACACTCCCTCAGAACACGAGGGGGTCTTCCATCCTGTCCATGCGCCAAACTCACATCCAGAATGGATAACACACCAGCAACCCAACGAGTGGAGATTATAGGAAGGTGCATAGGTTCAGTAGGAGCAGGAGGCAAAGGTTCAGTAGGAGCAGGAGGAGTAGAGTTAGAATCATCTAAGGTGGAGTTAAGAGGAGAATAAGGTGCCAAAGAAATTGGCTTGTTCAGAGGGAGAGTTGGCTATTGAGTTATCAGTTTGCATTTAGAGGGGGGTGGGGGAAGTGGTCGTGCCCAGTTTGATTTATTAGAAATAAGATTGTGATCAGAAGACCCTTAGGGGGTAGAAAATGAGTATGAATAGTGTGAAGGGTTAGAGGTAAGGTGGGTGGTCAAGGTGCTAATGGACACAAGAAGACCAAAGGGAAAGTCCGCTGTCATGGCCACTGCCACTCGACGTCACCTCACGAGACCTGTATGTATGTGACCACGTGGGGTCTCCCAACACCCACACCATACCCTTCACGGCCCCACCAACACCATATGTACCCTCCACCCACACAACTCTTTTCCTATGGTTAAATAATGAATTAATTTAAAAAATATATTATTAGTTTGCATATAACAAGCAAGAATTTTTGTTTTTCAACTGTATTGGAGTAAAAGTATTAGAAAACCACACTTAAGTAAAAGTACTAAAAAAATTGAGTACTTTTTAAAAAATAAATACCCAAAAATGTTACTCGGGTAAATTAATAGTTACTTTACAACTCTAACTTATGTTCACCCACTCAAATCAATAAGTTTTCAGAAATATATGTTAAACTATGCACAAAACTTCATAAAAGCGCTTAAACTTAAATACTGAAATTAAACCAAATCCGAGTAATTTCATATCTATGTACTTCATCATCATCAATTCTTTACATGCATGGCCATTTTACATGCATGAATGGGTTAGCCGCGATTCCCTGACGGCAACTGAAGGGTAAAACATGAATGGGATGTCCTCACCCTCCTGCTCACCACTGCAAACCCAGGGTGCTAGCCCAGAAAATGAGCCAGAAGATAGGCACAGCTCTGGTGACCCAGTTTCCATCAGGGATGTTGAAGCCAAGTTTTATGGCTAGATGCTCATCCTAACACCAATGCACAGGATGGTAACAGAGGCAAGGCAATGTCATAACTCCATAATGTAATCAAAGATAACCCACCTACCTTAAGTAGAACATTATGTAACAAACCATCCTCCTAAAATTAAGCTCTTTAGAAGGAGAATAGATAAGCTTTTGAAACAAATCACAAATAAACACTAACCAATTTCATATGGCTGAGAGCCAAACGTAACTTGTTGTCTTCAGGTAGTTTGTTACATAGAAGATAAAATGTTTCAACTGGTCCTTTGGCACCTGGTTCACTGTTAGTATTAATAACAACACAATAATCCTGCAATTCCAAATCCCGAAGTTTGCCCCAGTAAAGAACATACCTGCAAAAAAATATCAGTATACCTGTATATATATATACAGAATACAGTACATGTATATTATTGAAATGTTGGATATGTAGTTACTATACACACAAGATATATCACTGGTAAAATGACAGTATCCACAGGAGTGATTGTTCAACAAGTACAAAGATCATGACCAGAAGAGAGAAAGAGAGAAAAAGAGAGATGCTGGATGACATGTTCTTCAGTACCTTACAGATATTAGAAAAGATAAACATTGTCCATAAATTCTACTCACTGACACCAACTCTAGAATAAACAAGGAAAGTTATGGTAAGGATATTTATCAGTTTAATGTGTAATTAATAGGGCCCGGATAGTTATGCACTAAAAAACCATGAAATATGCATGCAAATATGCACTAAAAACAGGGGAAATATGCATGCAAATATGCACTAAAACATGGGGAATATGCATTTATATGCACTAAAAATGTCACTTATAAAGCCAAGAATGCAGGTTATACGGAAACAAAATAGTTAATATAAACTAATGTTAATGTTTATTAAGCAATATACGTAATGTATTTAACATATATATGTGAAAGTGCTTCAAAAAATATATATGAACATGTATTTACATTATAGACTGACATATTTTCAGATATTACAGATTGTGGTTGCATTTGATGATGACATGGTGGCGTAAGTTCTCAAAGTTAAAACCCCGCCTGTTGTCTGTCAGCATAGCTTTATATTCTGAGAACACCCTTTCTACATCACACGAGACGATTGGTGCAGAAGAGAGTAGCTCCACACAGCAGCACTGCTCCTGACTGACTAACTCACTAGTCCAATGAGTCATGACCAGGTGTGGAAACGACAGATTAAAGCGACGTGACCTCACCTCACTTCACCTAACCACACCTCACCTCACCTCCCAGTACCACGTGTGCTCATTCAGTGGCAACAAAGAGATACTGCCAGATGAATATTTTACCAAAATATGCATTTATATGCAGTTATCTAGGTAATATGCACTTATCATAGAAATCATTTGCAAAATATGCATTTGCATATGAAATATGCAAATGCATAACTATCCGGGCCCTAGTAATTAACATCAAAGCATGCCCTTGGCTTGTGAAAATGTAAGAAATCCAAGAAATTATTAACCCTTTGACTTGTATAGTATAGCATTTTCTTTTAATTGTGGTTTTCAGTGTACAGTACTGTACAAAAAATTGTTTTATACCTAAGGGCTGTAATACAGCATATAAGGGGTAAAAAAAAATTAATTTACAGGAACTATTGGTTGGTCTCCGTACCTCCCAAAACCTCCTATTCTCATTACATAAAGGACTCATAATTACATGAACTGTACAGAAGTGCATCTTCATGAAAAAATGGGGGTTTACTGTTCTCAACAAACATAATGTAATGAATTACTCATAGGTTTATATATATACATATATATATACACTGCTGTGACAGAAAATTCTTATTACTAACGACAAAGTAACTCACTGTCTGAGATCCGCCACTTGCTCCACAGCTCCAATGGTAAACTTGTGTTCTATTGATAAGTGCCGCAACAATGGCTGTTCATCCTTCATCACAGTGAACATTTGATTACACAATATGCAAGGCACAGCATCATCGCAGTCAAAGTCGAAGTCAAGTGCAGCAAAATCCGAGCCATAACTGTTCGCACCTGGACACATCTGCAATTGAGGTAAGATAAAATATTTAGATACAGTACAGCATATATGCCAAATACAATGGAAGTGGCAACTATGCCAGGAATTCTTGGTTGGGTAGACTGGAAGCTACATAGCTGGGATGTTAAGTTGGAAAAGTTATGTATCTTGACATATTTAAGTCATTGGGTTTGGTTCCTTAGGTTTATGTGAATACAGATGCTGTATAGTCAGTGTTGTGGCGACCTGTGGTGTAATGGTCAGCATCCTTGCCTCGCAAGCGAGCGGACCCGGGTTTGATCCCGGGCAGGGTGAAACTATGGGCAAGTTTCTTTACACCATTTGCCTGTCTACCCAGCAGTAATTGGGGACCTGGATGTTAATCGACTTGCGGATCGTATTCCAGGATAATGGTTAGCCAGTGCAGTTGGCGAGTTGTCCAGACACTGGGTCACGCAACTCGTTAACTCAGGGTGTGGTTGTTGTGTTGGCGACAGCTTCTACACCTTAAACAAATTCATGCCTAGGTGGCCCTTGGGCCGGCCATCCTCGTACGAGGGGCAACCATTATAGTCAGTGTTGGCCTATGTTTGCTATTCTGAAGTTTAACAATTACCAAGCTAACCTAACCTAATCATTACAGAAAACTTTAAAAAGTTACCCAATAATTCTTTAGAAGAGATGTGTCGGTTAACAAGCAGCATTTGGAAAATTTTCAAGAGAAGGAAGGTTTTTCTTTCCTCAAGAACATGGTTAATTAAGGTACCAGTATATTTTTTTTAATTAGGTCTTATTGTACAAGAGGAAAGGTTAGGTCAGGTTGCCAAAGGTTTGATTGATATTTTTTTGTGTGTGAGTACTTTTACCCCACAACTTATCTTAGTTTCAAAAACCTGTCTATTTGGTGCAACCATTGTCATTGCTAGTGGCAAGGATTCATGTTTACAAAAATATTCATTGGTGCAAAAAAAAAAGTTCATGCAATATGGTATTCTTTCAAATCATCCTAAAAAAAAAAGAAAACCTTTTTTCTTTTTTACGATTATGTACTCTCCCGAATATTTACCAGGATCATCCACAAACAATGATGGAGGAATCAATTTTTGCCATACCAAAAAACCAAAAACGAAAATCAAAAGAACCTGGCGACTCATATCAGGATACATGATTTTTCGAACCTAACTTAACATCCCAGCTACATTGCCTCCAGTCTGCCGAACCAGAAATTCACAGCCAAGAAGCCACTTCTAAATGTAGCTCCTCCCCGAGTTACGACCTACTCGACTTACGACCACCCGCACTTATGACCTGCCTCAGTCATACCCAAATTTTGTCAAATTACGTATTTTTGAGTCCCAACATCAGTACACAGACAAAATTTTTGTTGGTAATTCACTTTAAAATGGCTGGCAAGCTTAAAAGTGAGAGACTTGTGGTGCTGAGAAGAAAAAGAGACACCCATTTTAGATTTCCTATGTACAGTATTATTTAAGCATTTTCGACTTATGACCATTTCGACTTACGACCTGGATTTGGGTCCCTAACCCCGCCATAAGTCAGGGAGGAGCTGTAATTGTATAATACTACAATATACCTGAATTGTATTTTGACTTGTTCCTACTAAATCCACAATAAGGGTTTAAAACACGACAGGGCCCGGTCAACAAAGTGGTTAGAGGACTTCACTGACAATGCAGTTAAAGGGACTACTGTATTTGAGGAGTCAGGAAACTAGTTGATAATGCAGCTATGGGTAAATATTTTGAAGCTGCCATGCATGGAAATTACTAGCATGGAAGGTTTTTATGGTGCATTTCATTATGGTTCATATGAATTCTAAAGTCAAATGGCTAATATGGACGACTTCACAGCCACTTCCCCCATTTCAGTTACAGTAAGTTTGCCCACAGCAGGTGTCAAGTTATGCTAGGTTGGATTAGGTTTAGGTTCGGTTAAGTTAAAGTTAGGTTTGGGGTAGTTATTGACTACTGACCCACGGCTGATTTTTCACAGAAAGCGATTATAAAAATGCCGCAATTTCACAGTGTTTTATAGTGGATGCTGTCGTAGTTTGTGCAAATGTGTTAAAACGTGATTATTTTTAAATTAAATGTAACCTAACCTTAGTTGATATGAAAAACAAGCAGGAGAAGCATTGTTAGAAAACCTCACCAACCTAACCAAACCAACCTACTGAACCTTACCTAACTTCCCCAGACCCCCCGGTATATTAAACAACGAACTTACTATGATACGGTGCAATTTTACGTTTTTATGTGGATGTGAGAGCAGCCGCCCGTACCAAACAGTTCACGAGCATACACTGAGCATCAGCATTGATCCGGCCTGGGTGACAGTGTTTTGAAATATACCGATATGATTGGCTGTTTACGTCCTCGGACAAGACGTCACTGCTGCATTACCGCCAAGTTAAAGTAGCGTGCACCTTAGGTATCTAAATATATTCCAGCAAACAAATAACTCGTACGCAGGTCAGTCATCAGTATTAGCCAGGTTAGGTTAGGATAACTTAAAACTATTAAATAAACACTTTAGCACATTTGCCATAACTATGACGGTGTGCACTATAAAACACAGAGAAATTGCAGTATTTTTAAACTAGTTTTCTATGAAAAATCAGTGGATGTGAAGTCTTAGATAATTACCGGTCAAATTCTCTTGAAATGCAACAAAATTCACTATTAAAACCTATTTTGGTTAATATTTAGTAGTTTAAAGCCCTGTTATTCTTCTCATAGAACTTGGAAATGGCAGCAAATAGTTCCAGTTGCAGCATGCACACAGAGACATCGCTGGCCAAGGACTGACTTTTCATAATAAAATCTGCCGGGTTGTAGCCTCAAGGAAGACATGATATTGACAGCTTTGTCCTCTTCCACCCTAATACAACCCATGTTGTACAGCTTCTCTCCCTTATCATATTTATGTATATCAACACCACTGTAACAAATGTACAGTATACCTGTATATGGTAAAGTATAATACATATATACTTAAATATAAAATGTAAAAAAAAAATAATAAAAAAAAATAACTAAGTGATAACTAAGGTAACATTCTGATATGTTCATAATACCACCATGTTAAGTGTACTATTACAGATGATACTAAATGTTATGGTTCATATTCGCCCATTGGTTGTCCGCAGGTTTCCGCCATATTTACCCAAGGTTGTACTCCTCACTTAAGAGTCAGTTGTCTCCTCCTTACCTCCTCCTCCTTGTAGGTTAGGTTAGGTAGGTTGGTTGGTTCCTTTGGTATGAAAATAAGTTTGCGTATTTTTGGCGTTTTACTCAAATTTGACTTTAATTTTTGTGCAAATTAGCAGTTTGTTGAAAATGAAAATGTTAATTTGTTTGCAAAAACCGCTAATTAGCATATAAAATGAATGTCAGATTTGAGTAAAAAACACCGAAAGTCAAAAAAATCTTATTCTCGTACCAAAACCCGAGGACAGCCAATGGCTGAATATTTACCAATGCTACATAATACTTCGAGATAAATGTACAGTATATTGAATTGAAACAGTTTATTTAGCCAGAAAAACACAGATACAGAGTGGATAATAATAACAATATTAACATGGCTGAGCCAGTTGAGAACCTGAGCTCTCTTTTAGGCACCTGATATATACGGGTCAGACAAATTACCCAAATGTACCCGCAATGAAGTCAAATAATGGTCCTACATGAATAAATCGGGTTACCAATCACTTCTCGACTAGTATTTGGTGTCACGAAGTCACAAAAAATTGGTAAACTTAATTTAATCTGAGTTAATAGATCAAGTGCATGTACCTAACCTAATCTAATCTAACCTAACACAACACAACTCAGATTAAATTAAGTTTACTAATTTTTTGTGACTTTATGACACCAAATAATAATCGAGAAGTGATTCACAGCCCGATTTATTCATGTAGAACCATTATTTGACTTCATTGCGGCTACATTTGGGTAATTAGTCGGACCGGATATATACTATACATTTATCTCAAGGAAGTATTAGTATCATCTGGAATAGTACATCTCATAATGTTACCACGGTTATTACTTCAATATTTATTAATTTTATGTCAGGTGCCTTCAAAATAGCTCAAGCTCTCAACTGGCTCAGCCATGTTAATATTGTTATTATTATCCACTCTGTAGGCGTTTTTCTGGCTAAATAAACTTTCAATGGTACTCACAATCCCTGTGCACCGGGTGTTCTTTTCTAGTGCTCACTTAACAACAGCTGACACACATATAAAATACCTGATAATACAGCTATACAACGCTAAGTAACAAATTCCAGGCTGATATTCTATCGATACTTAATTTTTGCTTAAGTTGAAATTTGTGTGAGTAGACCTTACCATTGTAAACAAATATGGTCTAGAAATAGAGAGGTTACTTTTACATATTATCGGCTGCTTTACTGTGATGTCTTCCCTGGTGTCTGATCCTGCCAAGTTTCATCTAGTGTTGAATTTCAAGTTGTAAGTCATAGAAAACTGATTGATTAAAGGATAGACTATTGTTATAAATGGATACACTAATGATTGTAATCCAAAGACAGGATTTTCTTTGATTTATTCAATTTATAATTCTAAAATTTAGGAATCCAATTAACTGGCTCGGGATTTGAACAAAAGCCCACTAGGATAAAAGACCCCCCCCCCCCCGGACAAAAGCCCCTCAGTTTAAATGCAAAGTGGATTAGGTTAGTTTAATAAATTGTAAGGTTTAAATAATAAAAAAATGAAAATAATGGTATAAAAATGGTATACAAAATGACCTTTACTGTTTGATCGTTTTGCAAAAAAAAAAAAAAAAAACACATACAAAAATCAGCCACTTTGCTAAATCACCAATAATCTTGTCGGTGTATTTACAAAATATCTTGTTCTAATAGTGTAGAACCTCCCGTACTCACTCTTTGGCAACAAGCCTGATGCATAATACGATTTTTCTTTCTCTGCTTGAGCCAGCACGAAGTCAAATATCTATTTCCTTCCATCCATAGTTGGTCACACTGCTGATCACAATGAGAGTCCAATTTTTTTTTTTTTTTATTGGGCACTCCCCTACATCCTTGTGTAAGGTGAAGCGCAGAAACGTTTACAGCGCCCGACAGGGAAGCATGCTAAGTTCATGCTTGCCTTTGTGTCTCATGAGTTAAGGGCATAGAAGCCTGAAGAGTCAGTGGTTTATGTCATCAAGTTATTGGAAGCTCCAACAACTCCCTGAATACGAATTCGCAACTTTCAACAGGTACCTACATTACTGTTACGTGAACAGGGACTATTGGGGGCTAGGAAATAAGTCCAAACAACTTCCACCGGCCCGGGAATCGAACCCGTGACATCTCGCTTGCGAGGCAAGAACGGTATCGCTTTTACCACCGGTCGAGGCATAAAAGAGTCACTTGTGTCGCAGGGGTCTCTTCGTAGCGTAGTGTATGTGGCCAGTTGTCTAATTTCTCTTTCTGTTTATCTATTTCTCTTTTTTAGGCTCACATACTTACGTACATGTAGGAGATCTCGCACTTAGGATGGAGGTGAGAAAGGATACTCACAATGGCGTTTTCTCTCTCTCTGTATATATATATATATATATATATATATATATATATATATATATATATATATATATATATATATATATATATATATATATATATATATATATATTAAGGTTTACCGCTGCTCGTAAGATTCACCCCAAGTTAGGGTTTAATATGTTGTGTTTTAATTCGGCTTGTGTGTGTGTGTGTGGCAGTGAGGACCAGCTAACAAAACATCCTTGACATGTCCTTCCCTCAGCACTGTCTCCTAACCCACACAATGTTTTTTTTCTTAACACTGCATTGTAACAGACTGTGTGTTGTTCACTCTTGCTCTCCCTCCCTCTCAGTCCTCCTTCCCTCTCAGCCCCCCTTTCCTCTCAGCCCTCTCCCTCTCAGCCCCCCTTCCAAGATGAACCCTTGCAACACGTGACCGAAGATAATTATGTCCACCAAGGTTATGAAATTATCTCTTTACATTGTTTACTTCTCCAAGATGCAGAAAATTGTTTACTTGGCGTGTGTGTTTAATAACCGGTGAGAGACGACTGTTTTTTTTTATTGTTTGTTACTCTTTTAAATATGTAAGTTAAGTTTTTGTTTATTGCAGCATAAATATAGATAACATATTGTGGATTCCTATTTTGTTGTATCGTCATACTGGTTCATATTGGCTTAGTGTGTAAACAATATACACAGACACTTCAGGTATATAAACAATGTACACAGACACTTCATGTATATAAACAACGTACACAGACACTTTGTAGTGGACGTCTCCCCTACAAACTGCGTAGCTGCACACCACCTGCTACCGTCTTCCCTAGCAACCAAGAGTATCCGCATTCCAATGCCGCCGTATCCTAGCAACCGAGCCAAAAGGCCGGCGACTTCTCGGGTTTTCCCAACATGACTCATAGCGGCTGCTGGGTATATAAGCTCTGTCTCTCCATTGAGATTCATTCTGACCATTCTTCTTGAACAAGCAACACCTCCTCCTCCGCCGCTGCCCCTAGCATCTCCTCGCCTGCCTGGCGGTCCTCGCTCCCGCCAGCGAGCATGGCGACCCACCAGCTGTCCTCTGAGCCTCCCCACCAACCAACTCTCATTCTGCACATCTACCTCCTTCATTACGCTACTCACCGAACGTCTTCTACTGAGCAGCTCCCCACCACACGGCATCTCCAGCACCAGACTGTCTTCATATAACTTATATATTATACAAGAAAACCACATTAGAGTTTCCTTCCATCCTGAGTGCTAGACAGCATTAATAACTCGATACCCCTACAATGGTGACTCCCGGAGATTAGCACTCACACAGGATGGAGGAGACACTGATCACGCTCCCAGTCTTCAAGCAGACACCGGCTCCTCTTCCTGCCCCAAGCACCACATCCTACGACCCCAGCACACCCGTCCTGCCTCAGACGCTGACCCAGGCCCACACAACCCCAGCAGGCGCATATGACGACTCAGTACCTGCCGTGAGGGAAGCACACAACATCCATCGCCTCCACACCCCCTCTTTTCTCCCTCAGGTACTCCCTGCTAATGTCCTGCACCCTGCTGCTGTCGTGGACCCAGCTGCTGTCACGAGCCCTAATCCGCTTCTGCTGACGCAGCCCCTGCTCCTGACCCAGGCCCACACACACCCCAGCAGGCGCATCTGACTACCCTGTACCTGTAGTGAGGGAAGCACAACATTCATCGCCTCCACACACCCTTTTTCTCCCTTCTCCCACAGATAGTGTGTATCTAGACAGTTGTATTTCAGCGACCGGCTCATCACGCCATCGCCGTTGTCTCACATGAGGCATGCACCGCCCGGTCTGCCTCACATGTGCTAAGCAACTCTACAATCAACAAGTCTCCTACACCGCCTGGAGGGAAGGGGGAGTATTGTAGTGGACGTCTCCCCTACAAACTGCGTAGCTGCACACCACCTGCTACCGTCTTCCCTAGCAACCAAGCGTATCCGCATTCCAATGCCCGCCATATCCTAGCAACCGAGCCAAAAGGCCGGCGACTTCTCGGGTTTTCCCAACATGACTCATAGCGGCTGCTGGGTATATAAGCTCTGTCTCTCCATTGAGATTCATTCTGACCATTCTTCTTGAACAAGCAACACCTCCTCCTCCGCCGCTGCCTGGCTGCCCCTAGCATCTCCTCGCCTGCCTGGCGGTCCTCGCTCCCGCCAGCGAGCATGGCGTCCCACCAGCTGTCCTCTGAGCCTCCTCACCAACCAACTCTCATTCTGCACATCTACCTCCTTCATTACGCTACTCACCGAACGTCTTCTACTGAGCAGCTCCCCACCACACGGCATCTCCAGCACCAGACTGTCTTCATATAACTTATATATTATACAAGAAAACCACATTAGAGTTTCCTTCCATCCTGAGTGCTAGACGACATTAATATCTCGATACCCCTACAACTTCATGCATATAAACAATGTACACAGACAGCAAACAGATCTACACATAATAGTAAACAGTAATAGGAATAGCTCAATAAAGCAACTAAATGCATATATCTGGTAAACCCTTTGAGGACGATGGTTTAACCCTTTGACGATGATGACGTAACCCTTTGAGAACACTAGTTTGACCTTTAATGACGATTATTTAATTCCCAAGACTCAAAGGTCAAAGGGTTAATATATTCTATCTTTACATGTCACGGGAAACTATAAATATCAGCCGGATATCTATACACAGAAGAAATACACCATATCCGGCAGGTTTACCAGAATTACACCTTGCTCCATTTTCAATATCCGTAACATCGTCCGGGATGGACCATTGGCACCGGATATCTATAACCAAACACAGTGTCATGTTTTTCTTCTGATTAATATAATTATCGGTGTATTTCGTGGTAATAGAGGGCGGTGTTTTTTATTAACTAGCAACAGAGGGTAACGGAGGAAACAGTCGTCGGATGTCGCCTTTAAGGGAACCCATATATAAGGTGATCTTTATATCCAGTATACTGCCAGATTCACAGACGTCCATACAGTGATCACTTCTCTTAAGGGTACAGGGATACACCTAATGGGTTATCTTAAGTTATAATACAAAAATAACACCCTAGTATTAAAATTACTGTATACTCAAACTACGGATAATTAGTTCCTATGGTTAAATTTTATGGAAAGTATCGTAATTTTCTCTCCTAATTGGTGCTAAGTGAAGCTACCGTGTTAACTAGCGTCTTTGTTTAACTTAGATACGATATTTGGATAAAAAAAAAGTTGTTCTCGCTTAATTAATACTTGGGTAAAATGGAAGATGTTCTGAAGCTCAGTAATAACGAAATAACTAGAACAAATGGCTTTAAATTAGATAAATTCCGATTCAGAAAGGATATAGGCAAGCACTGGTTTGGTAATAGAGTTGTGGATATGTGGAATAGGCTACCGAGTGCTATAGTAGGATCGGGGACGCTAGGAAGCTTCAAGACGAAGTTGGATAGGCACATGGAAGTGCTGGGATGGGTGTGAAAGGGATCTGCCCTGTATGGGCCAGTCGGCCTCCTGCAGTATCCCACTTTCTTATGTTCTTATATATATATTTCATGTAGATCCACAATGAAAACGTGGATAAAATAAATCTTGATAAAATCACACGGGAAAAGGGAAACAACGGAGCACCTTAGCTTTCGTCTTTATTCAAGACATCTTCAGAGGCAACTGGATTACATGGACAGAGAGAGGCTGAAATATACAGGGTGACCTTAAGAACATGAGGTCAGGTCATAATGATGTCATCCACTAATCCCCACACCAACACACACGTAGAGGAGCTTAAGAGAAGGGGGGTGACGTGACTAGTCAGGTCACGTCAAAAATAAGGGACCCACTAAATAACTATTATACATCTAGATCAAAGGTTTTCAAAGC